CTCTGTGGGCTATAGTCAAACAATGGTCTTTTTTAAGATCAGTTTCTGCTTCCTGTTTAACATTTCTATGTCCATTTTTCCTTAAATGAACATCCAGTTTGGATGGTGTAACTGTGACACTGCAGGAAAAAGGAAGTGTGCTGTAGCTTTACTTATGTTTTTCTACAGATTTTGTTTTCCAGAAGTAAGCTGCTGTGAAGTAAACATCACGCTCGAGTTAGTTTACACACAAAGGCACTGCTTGCAACAGTTTTTTATGTTGTACATAGTTGGAAATTGCAGGAGAAGCTTAATATTGCAAAATCCATATTCCTGTAACAATTAAGCATAAGCCAAGATATACACAGTTGTTAAAAGTATATAACATAAATCAAAGAATGTTAAGATAATAAAATACAATTATTGGACTAATGCACAATACTGTACTATGTTGTAGAATTTATCATCATGTGCCAGAAAAAAATATGTTGTTTTGGAGTTACTAGATACACTCCCAGACTCAAATCATGCCCTACTCTAAAAGATCAATCATTTTAATCTTGAACTAAGAGTATGTACTGTATCCTAACTCAAGTATTCAAGATCCTCAAATGAATTGACAATATAACCCCATAGTCCTTCAGAATAAATACTGAAAACAAGAACTACGAGACATATAGAAACAAAGAAGTGCATTTAAAACTGAGAACAGATTTTAACACACAAGGCTCTAGGACTCTAGAACAACTACCCAGCTAGAATACTCACTTTGAACATGTATTCTTTCAAGAAACAACAGGATGAGTTCCTTAAATACATTTTGAATAACCCATCTATAAGCAACCAAACAAGATGCACCAAATGGCCTTCTCTCATGTGTAACCCCTCTTATGTTCTAACATTACTATGGTATTTTAAGGACCCATCCAGGATAATAGTTTAACAAGGTCCAGCTTTACTTAACATCAGAGATCGGATTTTAAGGTGATATAGCTTCTGACTTGAAGTCTCTGTGCATCCTACATTTTAATCCCACGGGACACACAGGTTATTAAAATACCTAATCCTGTTCTACATGCAGTGTAGTTTAAATAAATCCATATTCAAGCCTGGTTGCTCTTCAGACCAGAGACCAGATCCCTGTGTCTGTAGTACAAAGCATCCAGCTATACAGTATATAGCTGTATAACCTCCCAACTATTCATATCTCTGCTTTCCTTGACAGCTTAGTTAGACTATATTATATAATTAGACCAGCAATAATACCTTTCAGTTTTGTGGATCAGAATGTTTCATCTTTACCATGAACATCATATTTCATAAAGATCATTGTTCCCCCATGACTATGGCTTCACGACTCTCATACACACCTTTAATAAAGTGAGTGCCACATCTTCCATCCATACTCTTGATGCACTGAATGCATTTTTTTCAATAATCTTTTATATCAACAAGTCAGTAGAGTCACCATAGGCATCAGGATGAGACAAAGTTATGCTAAATTCTTTGTTGGTTATGCAGAAGATGCAGAAGAAGCTCATTCTTCTCTTATGCTGGCTTCTTCACTCTTCAAGCAACACATTGATGATGTGTTACTGCCAGTGTCCACTCTCAAAATCAACTTCAGCAGGACTTATCAGGTGTTACGGGGATCATAAGAGCAATGACTACAAAGGATCTCTTCAGTACAGTTCCCCATTTTATCTTTCCCACCTTTAGGAAAAAAAAATATATTTACAGATCTCTGTGATTGCCTATACTTGATTTCTTGATTTTCTGTGAATTAAAGAGGGCAGTGCATAAGAGCAGATCGAAGGATATCAAGGATCTGGAAAGATTCTGTTTGGAGGATTGGAATAAGATCCCTCTATTGTGTTCTCCAATCTCATAATACATTATATAAAAAGGCTCAGTGCTGTTATCCTTGCAAGAGAGGGTACACAAGGTACTGAAAACAGGGGTGCCAAATTTAAAAAAAACATATTTTTTGTAATACATTTATAATTTCGGTTAATTCCATTCATAAATGGAGTAAAGTATATTCCACATCTTGGAATATTACCATATACTGTAGCTCATTACCTATGTACTTTGTTTTATACAGCCTTCTTAAATCATCTTTAATCAGGGTGCCAATAATTTTGAAGGTATTAAATAGAGAATTGTATAGAAACTACATGTGTACTGGTTCTGACTGAGTGCGGAACTTTTCTTAACTGTTTCTTCTATGATCTATGCACCCATGCATTTGAAGAGTCTGTGGGTCAGCCTCATGATCATCATAAATAGTAATTTGTAACTTTGAAGTCCTAGGGGTGCAAATATTTAATAAAACATAATAGTCAATATAGAATATTTCTATATATAACATATCTATATCTTATATCTATATAACATCAAGGACTGAAATGCTGATAGAATAATTAAGATATGAGAAAAGGCAAATAAAATGTTAATGTCATGCTTGCTTCCACAGTGTGAAATGAGTTACAGTATTTTGTTGTTTTTTGCTAAAACAAAAGACACCTTCAGACTTTCTGCTATGTGCCACAGAGAATGCAGGAGAACATAATCAGGAGTTTTACCCTCCTTAATTTGGCATTTTGAGAACCAGTAAAGACGGCGTGATCAATTTCATCTGCAGCCATATTAAGTTTATGATAAATAAGCAATAATGATGTACAATTACAATAGTTATCAGCCATAAAATGTTCAACAGTAACAAGTCAAGAACACCTTTTGCTGGTGCTCACCAACAATAAACTGTCCTTTCTATTTCCTGCACCAATGTTCCTTCAAGGATGGAGTATATTTCTAAAAATCTTATGTTATATGGGGGTACAAAAACACCACAAATAGACATGGATGGGTCTAATGATTTCTACAGAATATTTTCTGTGCTGAAAGAAACCACAATGAATGAAAGAAGGGAGTTGTGTGTACTATTAGTTACCTATTTTTTAACTGAGCACAAGAAAAAGGGTTTAATGCACATGATACATAATATCATTCTTGGTGACTATGTCTAGGAAAAAGAATTTAATAATGCAAAAATTGCACCGTTTCTCTAATTGCCTCCCTTATTTGTTTCTCTTGAAGTAATACAATCTCCTCAGGTTCATCTCCTCAGGTATGTGCCACAAATGAAACTCAGCTTATGGTTTCAGATTTTCTTTCTATACCAAGTCTTACATTTCCAAAAAAGGACTTGCAAGTATAATCAGGAAATATACACATACTGTACAGAAGCTGTGCATGCAACTCAACTTTGAAGTACAGTTGGCACTGCAATGAATCTCGTTGTTTCCACAATGTGTCAGTGGGTGGAGAATGACAGACAGGAGGCAGGGTCTCTCAGGTTTGTTGCTCTTGAAGAACAGAAAGGGTGTGCTTCATCCCTCATGGAGAGGGATGAAGCATAGAGATAAGGAGAGAAGTAAACTCACCCTCCCTTACAGAGGAAGAAGGAAGGAAGGTGAAGGTCAAGGGGCAGTCCAGTGCCAGGTGTCATGAGGGAGTTGGGGGGGCACTATATTACAGTACATAAACATAAACAGTCTCTTTTTAGGCCATAAAGGCCCATAGGGATCCAACACACTCCAGCTGACCTATTACCCCCAGAAGGATTAACCAACTGGTACTCATTTCAAAAGTGGAAGGAATTAGAGCAAGTTACATCACTTGCCCCTACCTGGGATTGAACCCGGGACCTTCCACTCAGGAGCTAGACACTCTTGCCATCTGAGCTACAACGGCTCCTATATTACATAAAGGCTTATGAAAAAAGCTTATCAAACATAACGGCAAACAGTCCCGGACACAAAGATAAATCTGATCAAGTGAGGGTATGCTATGAAGCTGAGTAAAATTTAAGTATTTTAACAAACGCAGTCAGCATTAAGGTTATCTATCATAAATAATGAGTTATTTTCCTATTGACTGTGATATCAAACATGATAAAGCCCACTTTCATGATAACGCCTCATCAATGACCAAACAAGTTTCAAATTCTAAAAATTACAAAGTTGTAACCTCAGCTTTGTGTGGTTACAATGTCTCAAAAGTACTGTACACACCCTTCCTCTTCAGAAGTTGGTTTATCTTAAAATTAAAGTTTCAGAATTGTTCCTCATACTAAGCAGTTATACAGTGCTTAATTATACTGTATATATGATAATACCTTGGAGACTGGGAAATCTTCTTAGAAGGATATCTTTCTCAGATGTACAGTATCTGAGGCCTGAATTTTCACTAATAATCTCCTCCTGGCATGTGATATGCTGTAAAGTGTTACAGCACCAGAAAAGAACTTCAGAATGCATGGAATTTCAAAAACAATTAAGTTTATCAATGAAGGTCTTTGAGACTTTGTCCAACACAATTTCTATATGAGAAACATTTCAATACTCGCACAAAAGCAGTTTATGCGCTCCCAGAACAGAAAGCTGCTAACTTTGACCAATGGGCTTAGGATAATGCAATCTGGGTATATCCCAGTTTCTTATTAAGAAACATCAATTCCATGACCAAAAAGTGAAAAAAAACAAACAACAAAAAACAACCTTTTAGTTGTGGAGCAGACAGACACAACTTCCCACTAATTAAGATAGCTATAGAAGTTATAAACCATAAATAAAAAGCACACATTACCTTGATTTAATAGAGTTTGAAACTAGTAATATCAAGAGGTGTTTAACAGCATGAATATAAATTGCTCTATCTGTGGTAATATCATCAGAGTAACATGTTTTTCCCAGAACAATAATAATTTAAAAATACAATTTATAATAACAATAATATTCATTGTTATTATACATTTTATTTATGTACTGCTCACACTGTATAATGCTTTCTTAAATTACTTTAAGAAAATAATATAAAGTAGACCTCCACGGTCAATGTACACAGCATACAAAGAAACTTCAGTGTCAGAGAAGAGTCTGATAGATTGTGTAGCCAATTCTAATCCTTTACAACACACGAAACCAGAAACATGAATTTAAAATGCAAGAATAACTTACTGAGCTTTGGCTGAAGGTGACGTTAAAGCTGTCTTGGGCTGTGACCCCTACAGAAATAAAGTTCGTAGAGATCAAGACCACCAGGGACAAGATGCTTGATTTATGCAGTTCAGCTCTTCTTTTCCTTACTCTAGAATCCATTCAGCAAATACCTGTTTTATATATATATACTCCAAATATTTTTCCTTAAACATAAAGGAGATATTTTGTCTAATATTTTTGCAAAACAGACAAATCAGAACTCTATTTACAATCTTTTCTTGACTTTGTTGCAATTATCTATTGTAGAATTGGTGAACCTTCAGTTGAAGATGTGTCATCTTAGAAGGAAATGTCTGTTGTTTAAAGTCCACTCTCTCACTCCCATGAAACCAGCTAAAGAGTACAAGACAAATATAATCAGAGTTTACAGCATAATTGAACTGTGGACTTGGAATGCCCCATACTCAAACAATAGTCTCTTTTTGTCAACACATGAAGGTATTTTTATTGCAGTTCACATTTATTATGTTTCTGATGTAACCTTTATCCACTGTACAAAAAGATGTATGTTGTACACGTTGGGGTATTCCATTTCACGTAATACCTTCAGTGATTAATTGCTTACAACTCAACCATATTTATGCTTTGATCAGATCAATCTATCAGAGTAAACTGTATCGTTGCAGACAGGTCTTGTACATTTCAGTACACAAGGAACAACTTTGCTATCTGTTTCTGTGTTTCAAAAACAGGGAAATGTGTCTCCTAGAAAAACTGTATCTTTTACTTTGAGAAACACTGTTAAAAAAACCTTCTGCATCCATCTGTAACCTCCATACAAGAATCTGACGGGACCAAAGCTGGTCATCATTTATTTTTAGACCCCTACCCATCCGATTTTCTAGTATTTCTTACAAAAACGTCTAGAGATTCTAAGGATATCAGATTTCTATTTCCACGGGGGAAAATATGCATCACATATGACTCCTGTTCCAAATTTAGTGAATCTGCCTGTCACACCAATTACTCAGCTCACCATCACATCCACCGAAGCTGTTCCTGGCAACAGGATTTCCTCATCCATTTCTCTCTAGAATCGCTCGACATTCTCTGTCCAACTACCAGCAGAGGGCGACTTATCTCAATGGTAAGAAATCTATAGTCTACAAACTATACAAAATTACTGGAAGCAGTTTGCAGAGAAGTTTTTATTTTAAATTTCCTTAAAAGCTTAAGATCCTTTAACGTAAGGTCACTGCCCTACGTGTAAAATAGCATAACCATTCAATTTAGGTTTATATGTGCCTAAGCTGTTATTTAATTTAATGTTGATGCACCTATTAAGCAGAAAGGAGATCCTTGGAATAGATTTTTGTAAGGCTTCTTGAATATTAAATCGAGAAGACATTTTTAGTTTCACCACATTTTATAACGCTCTAAAGGATTCAATTAACTTCATATGAGTGTGGTCATATCCGTTAATAAGAACTTAAAACCAATGCACCGAGTAACATTGGGCCGCCCACTTGTAAAAATTAAGTACTTAATAACGTATTTCCCTGATACGGTATTTTTACAATTTTTAAAGAATAATCGATTTAACAGTAGTTTCTTGCTGAGTATCTAATCACTATCAAAAGTCCTAGAGTAGTTTGGGCCTACTGCTTTGATGTTTCAAAAAAAATCTCATCTCTGATCGGACGTGATGAAAGAAGATTTTATTAGACATAACAATTTTGGTTTAACATTTGAAACTATTACTTCTAATTTGACACATATACTTTGATTACAGATAATGGATATGTTTGTACAAAAAAGCCTGTTCTCTGGAAACAGGTTTCTGATGTAAGCCATGTAACACGCTACATTATCTTTCTCTGGAGCGTATTTGGCTTCAAAATTGACCAAACTTTCTGCATAGGTTGTGATGGGGAAAAAGAGTGAAACGCAGGTCAATTACCGACGACAGTTTTCAAAAACGAATCAGGCATATTATTTTTTCCAGCACTTGACTTTGAAAAATAATGGTACATCGCCTTTAGTGAAAGAAGATCGGGTATCGTACTGTCTAAATAGTTGCGGGAAGAAATTTCCCGTTTAACTCACATCTGCAACTCGGTTTGCGCAATCTAATTTATGAACAGGTCGGTTCTAAGTACAGTACGTACTGTACGCAATTTCAATCTGCTTTTTTACTTATTATACGAGTTGAACTCAAAGCTTCCACCATGCATTGTATTGCTCACATTGATTACTGCGCCTTAAATTATTCGATAGGAACCTTTTATTTAATATTTGTTTTATAAATATGGGGCGAGGTGGAAGATAAGCTGGAAGGCTGTACATGAGATCAAAACTAAACTTTCAGGTAGTTTTTTTTCCCCATTTTCTAACCTCGCCTATGAAACCAGTGCTGTCAAACTGGTTGAGTGTCCGCTGGGTGCCGCCTGTGTGTGAAATCCGGAAGAGTTCATTGAGGAATCTTTCTGGAGTTGCTGGGAACAGAGAGACGGACCACAAGCGGAACACCGAGGCAGAAAGGGGGTGAAACATGTTAAATTAAACGAAATGGTTTAGTAGATGTTTACAGAAACAACTCTTGTTTTCACTTAATCGCGTCACTCGAAAGAAGAAAACAACTGAGATGCCCGGAAAACAAAAACTTCATGGATTCTTCCTACTTTTTTCGGGACTTTATGCCTCCTTGTTCGGTGAAAAACTCGGTAAGTAAAAAAAAAAGTTGCAAGTTTTGTCCTAAAGGAATCGTGCATACACGAAAGATTTAGTGTGCTCCTTTGTGAGTGAACTTTGACTCAAACGTGGAGTGCGTGCAGAGTGAAGTAAAACGAAAGCGAATAACTCTAAAGCCCCTCCAAAGTTGTCTGGAAAGCTCATTCATTTTATCTACAAAACAGTGTCAGATGTTAACACATGCATTATTCACAATTAACGCCTTTAATCTGTAGCATCCGTAAAGCAGTAACATTCTTCTATATACAGTTAATCACGTAATCGCTTGTAAGCAGGGTTTACATTGTATATATGTTCTCGAATTTATGCTGCCCAGAAAATGGTAATATCACACAAGTGTTACCCTAAAGTCGCTTGGTTAGGAGAATGGTCTCACGTGGTCTTTGAAATTCAGACCTAATTTTCAAGCTGTTTTAAAACTGCATTGTCTAACTTGCAATACGAAATAAATCGACGGGTAATCTTATAATAGTTAAGCGACAGTCTTTATTTTACAGGGAAGCGCTTGAAGGCAAGTTTTCATGAAATAATATATTCTTGCAAATGCTAGTCTGTTACTGAGCTGATGTGTTCTAGTAAGGGCTAGCCTAATACCCTGGTTTTGGCAGACTCGGGAGAAACGAACAACAAACCAGGTTGTTTTAAAACCATATGGCAGTGTGTTGGTGTTAATGTTATGTAGAGTCCACTACACTAAAGGGACTCATTTTGTTAAGCACTTAATACTGCATATGCACCTGAAAAAACGAAATTTTCATTTTGTATGATAATCTTAGTCAGAATTTGGAAGGACTTCAGACATCTTTATTTTTAGTGTTGCATAAATGTTTAAGTACTGAAAAACAGAAACTGGTGAAGCATGTAATAATTGTGGGTAACTTACAGAAGGAATCTTGAAGTCTATTTCATTTTATTAAAGCCTCTAAAATCTGAATGACCTTGCTTCTTAACACTGGGCTCTTTAATTTTCAGGTAAAATTCACACTTTCAGGATATTACAAAAATGTTCTTCTATGTCAATTTGGTTATTTTGCAGATAAAATACTAAATATTCCCTGCTAACTAAATTAATTGACTTGCATTTTACATTTGCAGCAAACGTTACACTTAATTCAGGAGATAGTCATATAGCCTGTTATTTACTGATAGTAAATCGTTTTAATGAGACTATCAACATGCCTGGACGCATCTTGAGTTATGGCAGAGACCATAGAGTTTTTGTTGGTAGTTACAGTCTGACATTTGTCTGATACTTTTAGAAATGCGTTCCTCATTTTATGGGATAGAGAGAATATACATTTTACATTAGAACTGGTTCAGTTAATCACATAATTATTTTCTTCAGTATTCTTAGGTGTTTGCCGTACAGTTTTGAAAAGGTATAGAACAGGTACAAGAAGGCCACAGTACAGAAGTGTGATTAGCAGAATGGAACAGCCCAAATACTGTAACTGCTTGCAATTTGTTTCTATATAAGGGAGATCAAAACTTAAAAAAATGAGCAAAAGTTACTGAAGTAGGGATTCCTTTATTAACATTATTTTGTGAAGTATAACTACAGGAATTTTGATCCTTCATGCATAAAGTGTCTTAATAAATCCAAAACAAATATTATTTAAATATATTTGATTTTAATTCAAAATAAAAAGTATATAATGGAGATCTGGAATTGAAATTGTACCAGCACAGGCAATTGTTTTATGTTGAGGCATTTAAAAGAACATGTAACATCTGGGTACAGAGTCAAAGCTCTTGAGTGTAAACATTTAATTTAAGGAAAAGCTAGTCCCTGTCTCCCAGACCTGTAATTAAGATATTTAATTTCCTGTGTAAGGGAAGACTTTGCACTGACCTATTTCTGCTTTTACTTAACATTAATTCTTAATTGTTTAAAACTGATGGGACAGGTGTCTAGTTTTTACTTTAATTCTGAAAATAATAAAATATAAAAATATACTTAGATACTTTATTGATCCCGTGAGGGAAATAGCAGTGCAACAGCAGCTTAGCACAGTCAACACAGCACAGTGTAACGAAATTATACAATACATAAAATCCAATCAGTGAGAAGTGCACAAAAAACAGTTGTAAACAGGAAAAACCAGATGTAAGCAGAGAGTTTAATGTTTAGTCCAAAAACAGTTCAATGTCATTGTTGCCCCTACCCAGACACATAGTGGATGAGTTGCACAGTCTTATGGCAGAAGGCAAGAATGACCTTCTGTAGCGCTCCCTGTCGCACCATGGTTGGATCAGCCTATTGCCGAACGTCATCTTTATTCTCACAGGCATGTCATAGAGGGGATTGGAGACGTTGTTCATGATGGCCATTAATTTGGACACCATTCTCCAGTCAGCCACTACCTCCAAGGGTTCCAGATCAGACCCAATGACAGAACTTGCTCTTATGATGAGCTTGTTCAGCCTGTTAGCATCCCCTGCTCTAATCCCAGAGCCCTTGCACACCACTGCATAGAAAATGGCGCTCAACCAACTAAAGGACTAAGGACTGTGATGATGCACCTCTGAATACATTTCTCATAGAGGTGTCCTGTGTTTTACATAAGTGAAACAAAAATTCAACTGAAATGACCATAGAAAAGTCCTGTTTCTCTGTTTCTTTGTGAAATGCATTATTTCAGGGTGGCACAGTGGTGTGGTGATTAACACTACTACCCTACAGCTCCACAGTCCTTGGCTCAATCCCACTGTCTGTGTGGAGTTTGCGTGTGGATTTTTGTGTTTGCATCGGTGCCCTAGTTTCCTCCCACCTCCCAAAGACATGCAGGTTTGGGCTGATTGGCTACTCTGAACTGCCCCTGTAAGGGGGGTAGGGATTTTCACGGGTTTCACATACACTGGTGGGGTGCTTTCCGGGACCGGCTGTTGGACTGTGGAGAACCAGAGCAAGGCAAGGTTCCTGATATTCTTTCTGATATTACTGTTCCGTTTGGGATATTGTGGAGCAAAGCATGAAGGAACCTGGGATTAACCTACTGCCAATCCATGGTTGTGCTTGAGAGCACAAGCTCTGCCAGACGTCTTCCAAGCCCAAATCCTTGGCACTGTTTTCAGCCAAGCATCTTACTTTACTGTCTGAGCTGCAGTGCAGGGTAGCTACCATTTAAACACTTGTGAATGCAAACATGATCACTTTGGTTTTGGTCCACAAAATGATCACTTAGGAAAGTATTCATGGAGTTACTATCACCATTCATAAAACCATAGGGCCAATATGGTTTATCAGCATTTTAAAGCTTTAGAAAAAGCAAGTGCTGCCATTTCTTAAATTTACCGTTTGTTTTGCAGAAACATTACTCCACAGCTCCACATTACTCTTTTTAGTACAGATTGCCCACTGTAATACAATCTTAACAATATAGGATTAGATGGTAACATTTTTTTATCAGAAATGCATGTTAATCCTACAAAACGGATAGCTTTGGCATCTGTTTTTGCAGAAATCTGGGGGATAGTTTGACTTGCTTGTTAACATAGTTTTTTGTAGTACTGAAGTACAATACTTTCCCCACTGTACTACCAGTTATGCCCAAATTGTATGCACTACTTTATGCCACTTAGAGATTTTTTAATACAGAATGTAATACATACAAAGCTTCTGTAACAGGCCACTTGAGTTAAAAAGCATGAATTATTCATTCTTTCCCTGTGGCAAAAATTGGGCGGATGGGTCGTTAAAAGGTTGTTGAAATAATGTGTGGGCTTTTTTTTTAATTAAAGTTGATCCATTATCTTCCCAGATGAACAATTCTGCTGCATCTTCGCAGATGAACAACACTACTGCAACTGACACAAGAGGATGAAGCTTTTACGTAATTGTCCTCTTGGCAGCTGGATATATACTAATATATCCCTGCATAATAATTACATACTGTAATCTATCACTAGAGCTTTGTGTTTATGAGCCCATACAGGAGTCAACATTAGAATGTTGAAATAAGATGTACAATATGGAACATGTCGCTTCAAAGGAGAACACTCTCCTCTAGTTTGCCTTCTTTGCAATATTTGCATACTTGCAGAATCACTGTGATTTTAATAAGCTCTCAGAATATGTACTATATTTCTTCCATGAAGGAAATATTATTGGGAGGCATTTACAGGGATGGGATGCTTAAAATGTTTCTAAGTCACTGGCATGAATTTTTGATTTCCAGATTCTTCGTGGATACAGAAATCTCTATTCTACAAGTAAATATTAGCAGTGGCTAGCCCTAAATGTGTAACATATGGATTCAGGGGAATAACAGGCAAAAGCCATGGTAATTAAAAGCAAAATGAACAGAATTCAATTTTTCTGAATACATAAAAGAAAAGGACTGATTACCTGGTTAGTGGTGTTAAATGGGTCTAGGGATCTCCTCATTGTATATTTCTACATATGTTGGAAGGGAGTTCTTAGGCAACATAAGTATTACATTCTAGGCAACCTTTTTTGTTCTTGTAGCTGAAACTACATAGGGTTCTTTCCTTTATTATTTTTATATGTCACTACAGCTAAGAACTGAAGAACAGTCAAAATTCTAGCCTGTTCGTTACCTGTAAGCTATTTGATGTAAATCTGTGATCCTGCCATTTCTTGAAAAGCTAGGATATCAAGGCTACTTCCACAAGTTTCTGGGTAAAGACGTATTTTCTGTTGTCAGTATTAAAAGCACTTCCACATAGTTTCTGCTTGTCCTGTGGTAAACATTTCACTGTTATGAAGAAGTCAGCTGGGTTGATTTTGTCGGTGCTCTTCATGATTTTGAATTATTGTATCAAATCCCCTTGTAATTTTCTTTACAATCTGCTTTTAATTTTCAACCTGTCAGTGTAGGACATCCCCTTAAGCCCCAGAACATACAGTATCTAGTTGCTTTTCTCTACTGATTCTAGTGTGGCAATGTCTTATCCGTAATACGGTGAACAAAATTATACACTGTATTCTTAACGCAGCCTTACTAGTGCATAACATCTCTTGATTTTCCCTACACTTTTAATAATATTGTAACACTTTGACTTTTTAATTGCTCACCCCCAATAGTCTAGAAGACATAATGTCTTAAACCCCTAAGTCTTTCTTAATATGTCTTAAACCCCTCTTTTATAGTACCTCAGCGTTTCCTATGCATAGATTAGTTTAACTACCTATAGGTAAAACTTTACACTTGCCTTAATTAAACTTCATCAGCTAGGTCTGCTCTCTCATGAATTTTCTTTAATTCAGAGATCTCTAATCTTGGTCCTGATGGGCCAGTGTCTCTGCAGGTACTCCTTGCAATTCAGCACTTAATGAGCTGCATTAACTGGTTATTGACTAAATTGGATTAATTTAACAGCTTTCCCATCTCATAATGTGCTGCTGTTTTAAAGAAAACTAGAATACCTGCAGACAGACTAACCCTCAAGGAGATACTCTAAATAAGGGGTGCCCAACCTTTTTTAATGTAAGATCTACTTTTTTATTTGCCAGTCCAGTGCGATCTACCAGTGTGCATTTGAAGCTCTAATATAGGAAAAACAGACTGTGGTCACATCAGTACAATAATAATACCCATCACTGAAATGACAGCAAATATTAGCAAATGACTCATGCTACAGTGAACCAGTTATGTTCCCCATTTTAGAAAAAAGAATATCCTACCTTAATGTGAACATTGGCACTGAGACGCTTACTTGAGAACACTTGTATTTTTTTTTGTAATGTGTTGACACTGCTGAGCATGTCGATGACTTTTTTATTTTGTCCCTGCAGCTTGACATTCAGCTCATTTAGCAGTTCAGTCAAGTCTGTGAAGAATGCTAAGTCCAGAAGCCACTGGTCACCCTCTAATTGGGCATATTCACCATGTTTAGAGGACTTGAGAAACTCTTTGATTTCAGGCAACAGCTGTCTGAACCTCACCAAAAATGTTTGTTTTTGAAATCTCCAAACAGAACGTCAGCAGCCTCAACAAATGCTTTTTGTATTACTTCTCGATCCCTGAGTGACTTTTGTGTTGAGCCAGGACGTGGCTCTCGGAGAACGATGCGATGATTGCTGCTTTCCCTCTTGTATTAGGCCTCGTGAAAACCGACTGCTACTAGTTGAGATCTTAATTTTTCCACTTTTCCTTTCCGTAACTTACTTTTAGCGGGAAAGTCCACATCATAAGTTTTGTGTGCAGTTTTGCAATGTTGTTCTATATTTCCCTTTTTCGTGTAGACGCTAGCATTTCAGATATGAATGCGAAAGTACAAAAAAATAATCATGCTCCCATTCCTAGTGGTTAGGGTAAGTCTCAAGTTTCGCTCAAACAGTACAACTATCAAATAGGCAATCAAACTTATCAAACTGTTGGTGAATTTGTCGCGGCCAGTCTTTCGCTCCACTATGCAATGTAGGGAATGTGGGGTTTGTGCGGCAATATCCAAGAGAACATTCTTGGGTAGCACACACGACACTCTTCATTTACGGAGCCTTTTTTTCCAGTGTCAACCAGCACTCAGGGCAGACACTTTTATAACGCATTCGACAAGGGTTAAACACACACAAGGGCTTTTAAAATGTATGGCATTACATGGACAGACCTGAATGAATTTTTAGGCTATCGAAAAAAGTAGTCCCATAGCCCATTTAGTTTTTGCCAAACATTCTTGCGATCGAGGTTCCCGTCCTGGCCATTAGAGTGTTGCGATCGACTGGCAAGGACTCCGAGATCGACTGGTCAATCTCGGGGAATGGGGTTGAACAACACATTTATTAACTCGAACCGGGGAAAGTTACACACACAGGGACAGGGGTTACAGCACTGCGCCTTCACTAACACACACACGAAGGGAAGAGGCTGTCTCCCAGCCTCTGCCCCACTATAAAACAGTCCCGTAGTCCCGCCCCCCGGCGCTGTTCTCAGCCCGCCTTGCGTGCGCATGGCTAAAGCGCCCTGCGTGGCACTACATTGCCCCCGCCTGAAGAGTCGAGCATCCCGACGATGGCAAACCGTCCCTCCGGGCTGCACACGTGAGGCAGGCTGCTCCGTGGGCTCCTCCTGCTAGCCTCTCTGTCCATGCCAGAACCCTCCGCCTTGGCTAGGGCTCTCTCCCGGCGTGCGCTGGGCCTCTCGCCGCTGGGCCTCATTCGGAAAATCCTGGCCACAGTGAGCTAGTGACAGGGTCCAGGCTTGGACCTATGATCAAGCTCAGTCTGTACCAACTGAGCCACTCAAAGGGCCCTGCTTTCTTGTTTTAAGTTGTGACTTTTAAGGAGATATTAAGTTGGTCTGTATGTGTGTAAAAAAAAAATACAAAAGCCTTTGCTTCTTGGTGGTTTCCACCTCACAAACAGGTTTCAAGTTATCCTGTATAGCAGCACTGTGCTTGCAGGGGTTGATAAATGGTACAGTGAATAAACCAGTAGTTTCTGTTACACCGTCATTGTCTGAAAAAGTGCAATAATATTTAGATTTACATTTGTTTGATTTTTTTAGATCATAGCTGCTGTGATTGTTTCCTTAGTCAGATGTGTAAGAGGTAGTAGGCGCAAAGAGTTGATTGTTGTTGCCTTGTGGGCTGTTGAACCCTAAAGGCCATATGATGAACATGTTTTATGTCACACATGAAACATCTTCAACACAGTCTCTGTCAGATGTAGTGAATAGTACGTACTCATCTCCAGAAAAATCTAAACCGAGGAAACAAGTGACCATACTGGGCAGGTAGATGGACAGGTAGAATGAACTGAAACAGGTTCATCACTGCCTTGAATCTAATCAGCACACACACCTGCCCTCAGGACACCTCATGTAGCTGCTAGTGAAGGGCTCTATTAATTATAGTAGACCAGTGCCTGACTTGCTTCCCCTCATTCAGGTGATTTATTTAGACATTTCCCAGAACAGTCTCAGCTCTGAATGATGGGCTGAAGAACCAGATTAAGACCTTTAACTGGTGAGGATGTTGCTGTTGTATAGGCTACCCAAACAACAGAATGTGTTGAAAAAGGGTTGCATTCTGCTTATTCTGTAACTTGAATTTACTGATAAACGAATATTCACACATATACAGTATACATAGTATGTATTTACATATGTTATATTTTATATAAAAATTGAATTACATATAAAATGTTTATTGATATTTTATTTTGGAACTTACTGTAGGCACTTCAAATATCCATGCATGATAGTGCTTTCTCCTCAAAATACTACTACTACTGTTCTTCAGTTAAGTAACTCAGTAAATATTTTTACCTAATTTCAGTCCAAATTTCTCAGTACTGAACTGAAAATCCATTTTCTACCAGGATATTTTTTTATTTATCACCCACAAAATATATTTGACAAAGAATGGGCTGTGTTTGGTTTGGAGTGAATTATTGTTTTGCATATGATGGTGACATAATAATTGTAAGAATTCTAAGTGCTATTTTATTTTTAATTGACAAAATTCTTAGGATCAGAGGTAACATACAGTGTCTGAATTGTGCAGCTGTGCAAGTCATACATATAAAAATGCAACCTTCTTGAATTCAGCAGCTGATGATATCCATGAAATAGTTTATTTCAGGAGGTATCCATAGATAGTTTGAAAGGAAAAAGGTAATTCAAGCAGACATCCTGTTATGTATGTGAATATGCACACAGGTCTCTCTGTGGAATTGTTGTATATGTTTCAGCTTGCAGATCTGTGAGAAATACATGTGTCTGCTCAGCTTGACTCACCAGTATCTTTTTTTCCCAGGAGTTAAGGCTGGGAACTTATACCATATAATTTTGGTGTTTTTTTTTAGTGTATGACTTGTTGAAGCTAGTTTCTGGGCCTTGTGCCTATTGTGTGCTTTTTGTCCTTTATTTGATATACATTTTTAAGTTTTCCACCCTCATTCACAAATTTATTTGCATGTTCTAAACAGGTGATGGTTGTGGTTACTCGGTTCTTGGTCCAGAAAGTGGGGTCCTCACTTCAAGGAACTACCCAGGAACATACCCCAACCACACATGGTGTGAGTGGAAGATTCAAGTACCAGAGGGCAAGAGTATCATCCTGAAGTTTGGCGACCTGGATATTGAGGCACAGCAGTGCGATTCTGACTTTGTAAAAATCTTCAAAGGCTCACAGGGGTATGGAAATGATCAAGGTAAGGTATTATATTCCATTTTTATCACTTCTGCTTAAAGAAGTTGGTACACATCGTAATCTGGATTAAGCGGTCTCCAGAATTCTCTGTGTAGTCAATAGTAGGACTCTAATTTTTAGTTTGTTTAAGATCAAACAAAATATATGTTCTCAAAAATATTCAACCAGTATAATATTAAACTAAAATATAATTGATCCTCTTCTCTTTAGGAGGTGCGTTCATTCAGATATGGGTACGATTTATACAAAACATAGTTTATTTTGCTTTGCAAGTGTTATAGATTTATTAGTTAAAGGACAGACATTTTTAATTTTACAATTGAAGTTGTTAGTGTTACATAATGTTTTTGTGATTTAATCATTTGAGTTTAAGGTAACTGTATACTTTTCTTTGTCTAGACAAGTAAAACCTTTGATAACATACTGGTTAATAAATACCTAAATATCTGTGGGTGAGCTGGTGCAAACTAGAGAGTTTACTAACCCTCTAAATAATTAACGTGAAGACATGAGTAATCATTTTAGTACCAAAGGACATGAGTAATCATTTTAGTGCAAAATTATAAAGTATTTCATCATAAAGAAATTGTTGTGAGAAAGACAGTGAGACTATAAAGCCATGAAAGTAGTTTAAAACAATTAATTTCTATTTGTTTTTTAATATTACACAATTGCCTATTCATATACGATGCAATTTCTATAAGGATTAGGAGATTGTTGTTGCATCCAATTTGCTGAATGGATGATTATGTTAAATTATTACTTAAGTTGTGGAAAATGAACTAAAAATCACTTAGGCTGTAATTATAACTGCACTGCTCCCCCGAAAGAATTAAGAGGCAGTTGTGTTCATGTGCTCATTACCAGGTACAGTATGGGTAATTAGAAGACCTGATTACTGGACATTCGTCAAGTCTCATCAGACACGGTAACTAGTGCCATGTGAGCTGAGCCCATACTTGGGTAAAGGTCTGTGCTGGGCGAGGTGCCGTCTGTAGCTAACCCTGAAGGGAGCACAGAAGCATCACAACCTCATCAGAAGTATTCCTTTTTCAAACAGGGCCATTGTTGTGAGCTTTCATAAATGAATCCCCAAATGAAAGTAACCTTAGGTGTATTACAGGATTTCTGTGCAGGATTTTCATATGATGCTCCATGTAGCAGAGTTCTGTTGTTCAATGTGAATGTAATGTTTCCTAACAGTTAATTATCTAAATGACATGAGAAGGCTTTCTGCATAACTGATGAGGTGATTAAATATTAAGCCCTGTTCAAGTCAGGACGAGAAACAAAGAAAAAATGAATCAGTATCATGCTGCTGACATTTTGGAAGCTGGACAAAGTTGGTACCCTGACATTGACAGTCTGCAGTGTTAATAAACACTGATTTATAACCTGGCAAGATGTTGTACACAACCTTATTTAATTATTATTATTATTATTTATAATAATAATTGCTTACACTTACAGTGGTGTGAAAAAGTGTTTGCCCCCTTCCTGATTTCTTATTTTTTTGCATGTTTGTCACACTGAAATGTTTCAGATCATCAAACAAATTGAAATATTAGACTAAGATAACACAAGTAAACACAAAATGCAGTATTTAAATGAAGGTTTTTATTATTAAAGGAAAACAAAATCCAAGCCTACACGGCCCTGTGTGAAAAAGTGATTGCCCCCTAAACCTAATAACTGGTTGGGCTACCCTTAGCAGCAACAACTGTAATCAAGCGTTTGCGATAACTGGCAATGAGTCTTTTACAGCGCTGTGGAGAAATTTTGGCCCACTCATCTTTGCAGAATTGTTGTAATTCAGCCACATTGGAGGGTTTTCGAGCCTTAACCGCTTTTTTAAGGTCATGCCACAACATCTCAATCGGATTCAGGTCAGGACTTTGACTAGGCCACTCCAAAGTCTTCATTTTGTTTTTCTTAAGCCATTCAGAGGTGGACTTGCTGGTGTGTTTTGGATCATTGTCCTGCTGCAGAACCCAAGTGTGCTTCAGCTTGAGGTCACGAACAGATGGCCGGACATTCTCCTTCAGGATTTGTTGGTAGACAGCAGAATTCATGGTTCCATTTACCGCAGCAAGTCTTCCAGGTCCTGAAGCAGCCCCAGACCATCACACTACCACCACCATATTTTACTGTTGGTATGATGTTCCTTTTCTGAAATGCTGTGTTACTTTTACGCCAGATGTAATGGGACACACACCTTCCAAAAAGTTCAGCTTTTGTCTCATCAGTCCACAGAGTATTTTCCCAAAAAAATTGGGGATCATCAAGATGTTTTCTGGCAAAACTGAGACAAGATGTTTTGCTCAGCAATGGTTTTTCGTCTTGGAACTCTGCCATGCAGGCCATTTTTGCCCAGTCTCTTTCTTATGGTGGAGTCATGAACACAGACCTTAGGCAAGTGAAGCCTGCAGTTCTTTGGATGTTGTTGTGGGGTTTTTTGTGACCTCTTGGATGAGTCGTTGCTGCGCTCTTGCGGTAATTTTGGTCGGCCAGCCACTCCTGGGAAGGTTCACCACTGTTCCATATTTTCGCCATTTGTGGATAATGGCTCTCACTGTGGTTTGCTGGAGTCCCAAAGCTTTAGAAATGGCTTTATAACCTTTTCCAGACTGATAAATCTCAATTACTCTGTTTCTCATTTGTTCCTGAATTTCTTTGGATCGCAGTATGATGTCTAGCTTTTGAGGATCTTTTGGTCTACTTCACTTTCAGGCAGGTCCTGTTTAAGTGATTTCTTGATTGAGAACAGGTGTGGCAGTAATCAGGCCTGGGTGTGGCTAGAGAAATTGAACTCAGCTTTCCAAAGATGTGATAAACCACAGTTGATTTATGTTTTAACAGGGGGGGCAATCACTTTTTCACACAGGGCCATGTAGGTTTGGATTTTTTTTCCCTTAATAATAAAAACATTCATTTAAAAACTGCATTTTGTGTTTACTTGTGTTATCTTTGTCTTATATTTCAATGTGTTTGATGATCTGAAACATTTCAGTGTGACAGACATGCAAAAAATAAGAAATCAGGAAGGGGGCAAACACTTTTTCACACCACTGTATATAGCGCTTTTCTGGACACTCCACTCAAAGTGCTTTACAGGTAATGGGGACTCTCCTCCACTACCACCAATGTGCAGCCCCACCTGGATGATGCGATGGCAGCCATAGTGCTCCAGTACGCTCCCCACACATCAGCTGTCAGTTGGGAGGAGAGCAGAGTAATGAAGCCAATGTATAGATGGGGATTATTAAGAGGCCATCATTGATAAGGGCCATTGAGAAATTTGGCCAGGATACTGGGGTAGCACCCCTACTTTTTTTAGGAAATGCCCTGGGATTTTTAATGACCACAGAGAGTCAGGACCTCAGTTTACATATCATCCAAAGGATGCTGTGGGTGACCTACTTGAGTCCCACTGAGCATCTGTGAAATGAGCTGGGATGGAATGTGGTATCTGGGATTCAGAGACCAGTGAACAGACATCTTGTACAGGGTCTCCAACAGGAATCCCACAAGACAACATCTACTTCCTGCTGTAAAATGTATGTTGCAGATGTAGAGCTTGTAAAAACTTCTGTGCTGTAGTGCTTCCAACAGTGTCCATGCCCATTAGCAATTTATGACTTTCGCAGTCCTTTTTTGATAAATAAATCTTGGCAGCACAATGAATATGTCCCTGCACCTTCTTCAAAGAAGATATTATTTTTTCTTCAGTACTTTCTCAATTTTATTTTGTGACTGCTGTTTAAAGCAGACACAGAAAGCTCAGCAGACCAAATCCCATTGATTAACCTCAGAGCTTGGTATAAAGGACAATCTGTAGATTCAGGATGCAGTTTCCCAAGAGTGGATTAGGTACTTTAAGTTTAGTATAATTTGTGCACAAAGCACAGTTTGATATTACGTGCTGGATAAATTGAAGTAATATTTATATATATATCATTTAGTAGGTATTCAGTACAGTATTCAGGGTACATTATGGGCATTTAGAAAATAATCCTATGAATTTAACAAGATAAATCTGAGTGTTTAGTTTCTTGTCTTCTGTTTTCTTATCCATCTCTCTTACTTTGAGCAACTCTTTCAGCTAGGCCTGTACATTATGTGATACAATAGTGTATCAAATGTAATGACTCTGGGATGCCCCCCAAATATATAGTCCTGTTTATCTTTAAAACGACTGTTTAGATGTTTGTGTCCAGGATATTCCTAGTAAACTGAGCACAAAAACTAAACAAAGATCATACATTCTTCTTTCACGACCATGAAACCATAATGATTCTGCTTGCATTCATATGCTTGCACATTCATTATTTTTTCCTAACCAAGATCCCCGTGAATCAGTGGTGTTATTTTTAAAACTTATTTTTTTAAAGGTGGTCATGAGTTTTTCAGCTGACTTTTGTATTTCACTTGCGGCACACACTTTGTGATCTGTACAATGGGTAATCTTGTGTAGTTTCTTGGAGAATAATCCACACTGAATCCTTGGTCTAGTTTATAAGATGTTTTTTTTTCTTGATACCATTCTGTTAAAATTTTAAATCTTGTAGTCAGACTTCCCTATGTTTAATGGTAGAAGCTGAATTGGAATGAACACCTGAGAAACCCTGACCTTTTTCTTCTGGAATTTCTACCGAAAGGTTTTCATCAGCTGTGGCTCCTTATGCTTGAATATTATAAGTGATTTCTGCCAAGAATTATTTCAAATAAGGTAAGCATAATGAGAAACGGTGTTCCAGTTGCACATGCTTCCTGTAGGTTTCCATGTGTTCTCCTGGCTATGCTCTTATTTGTTATGTTGAGGATTTGTCAGGTGTTAGGCCAAGAGAGCCAGAGAAGTCTGCTTAATCTTGCAACTGTGTTCACAAGGTGTTGCCTCTCTCTTACCTGTGTGTCAATGGACATTGTCTAGCATAGCCCTGGTACTGCCAAACCTCAGTTCTTTTGTTTAAATACTTTGTGTTTAATGAGCCTTCCTCATACCTTGTCCAAGGACATGGATTTTGAGGCAGTTGTTTGTGTGTTGGCAGGTATTCTGGTGGTCATGTGAATCACTTGCATTTAAGATAAGTCACATTTTGTCTATGGACAGTCTTTGCAATACTTTCTGCTTTAATAATAATAATTCCTTACACTTATGTAGTGCTTTTCTGGACACTCCACTCAAAGCGCTTTACAGGTAATGGGGACACCCCTCCACCACCACCAATGTGCAGCCCCACCTGGATAATGTGACGGCAGCCATAGTGCACCAGTACGCTCACTACAGATCAGCTATCAGCAGGGAGGTGAACAGATTGATGAAGCCAACTCAGAGATGGGGATAATTAGAAGGTTATAAGTGGTAGAAACCATGGGGAAACTTGGCCAGGACACTGGGGTAACACCTCTACTCTTTCCAAGAAACTAATTTTCGAATTGATTGTTGCTAAGGTTCTATCATACAATTGTATAAAAACGTACCTAGTACACACCTTAAAATAAGATCAACTGCTGTTTTATACAGTAAAACCTGGCTGTTTGCTGTTTTGTGGATTGTAAATTTCCATCTTTTACGGGGGGGTTATTGAGATATGTTTCACAGATTGCTGGGCTGTATTTTACTATTTCGCCTGTGACTCTGTGTGCAGGCATATAGTCAACCTTAGAGCATCATGATGTAGCATCTTGGTGGATAAATACCAAAGATGGCTGTTCACTGTGTTCTATATGTGTGGGTCTTTCTCATCATTTTTGTGCTTTGCAATAACTATGAAACATAAAGGTGATGGTGATAATGGCTCTAATGATAAGAATCAGACCAGTTAGGTGTTAACATGAGAAAGTGGAGATGTTGGATAAGTTTGTAAAGGGTGAGAGAACATCATCTATTGGCCTGATGGTGTGAATGAGAATGCTGGAACGTACAGTATATTAAGAAAAATGAATAGAATTACATAGTTTATGTACTGTTATTTCCTTACTTAATTATTATTCGTTAATTCTGGGTGATGATGCCCCAAAAGTTAGACTTTATTCCTGTGACCCTGTTTTCCCCCCAATAAATCTTCTATTTGTGCATTACATTTTTTCAAGAATGTAACCCTCATAATGGGTGAGGATTCATTGCATCCCAAAATGTAAAATTTAGATCTTGATAGGTTCTAGTAAAAATAATTTTACTATATATAGTTTGCTACTGCTGCTTATTGATTAGCATCCCAGATACTGTATTACCATATACAATATGCATAATAGTGATTAATATACTTTAGTGTAAATTTATGAAAAATGTTTTCATAAGACAGGATTTCTTTGCTAATTCAAAATAGCTTTAAATTAAATACGAAGCAATTAATATAATTTTCTGTACACAAATTATCTCATTGTCTTTCTTTTAAAATAAAGATCTAAATCTGTAGCAGATTTTTTGTCCGTTGTATAACAATTCTCTTCATACATCATTCCGACCAAGATAGAAAAGTTAGTTATTTTGCCATTTAATTTATGACCCATGGATTCACCTTAACTTTGGGGAAGAACACAGCATAGAATCATATAACTGACCACTCAAATAAGATATACGAACATCATACCAGATGAATTTTAATCTGGTTAATACATTTTTAGAATAAAATCAGAACATCAAGTATAAATGTTTTTTTTTTTCCTAGTGAGTAGATAATAAACTGGGATTATTACTAGAAATTGACAAGATGTTGAGTTTTCCCTGTGTAGTTTGTAAGAGTATGGGATTGAGAGCTCCTAAAATGACTGAGGCATCATTTGCTCAAGAGGTGCTTATGTTTTCCATTTTCTTTCTTTGAAGTCACATATGGTAGTAATTGTTTTAAGTTCACAGTGGAGTTTTTTTGTAAACGGTTAAGGTCTGAGGTTGATTTTGACACACGCTGATCCAAAGCTGTAGTAAAATAAAAAATGGCAAATTAAGAACCTATTTTAAATGGTTTCTTTTATCCTGTTCCAAATATTTTTTATAAATATCTTGTACAAATAGAAAAACATTATTGATGTGTATGCTCTAGAATGTTGCTAAAGATTTTAGAAAAGCTATTTTGAATACTATAGTGTATTTGGTCATTTTTTTGTTTTAATTGGCCTCCAGTGAATTAGCAAATGAACTATAGTATCATTAAGTACCTGGGTCATCATTAAATATAAAATATTATGAATCTTCAAAGTAACTTAGTTCCGTCAGTCCAGACGATCACATTTTTGTTTAAAATGCAGGGCTTTGCATCCCTGTTACAACTTCCACAGCACTGTGTCAGCCATATCTATTGAAAGCTTTAATTTCAGTTTACAAATTAAAGATTAAGGTCTCATGGCTACTAATAACGTTATCATAAATGCCATTACATAAATCTTTTTCCCCATTTTTTATATCTAAATATTACTGTGACAGTGCGATTTGTGGAGTTATATTTTTGTCTGTGGAGCTGTGGCTTTTTAAGCACTTGCATAAAGATTAATGTAAAGATCAAAAGAATAGGATTATTAAACCCAGTGTCCTGGCTAAATTCCACTCAAGCTTGCAAACTCTGGTCTTGCTAAAATTTCTCAATTAAGCTGGTATAGCAGTTTCTCACTTCTGAGTGGGATCTGCTCCGTATTGGACCAGCTAGTGCCTAATGGTTACAGTACGTCACCAGGTGGTTGCTGCCCTGTAGTTGTGGATGAAGTTACGAGGACATTGTGGAGGTGGAGATGGTGGGAATTGTCAAGCCTAGGCTAGATGTTATAAGAGATTCACTCGATGTATATGGAAAAAGACACTTTAAAAAGCTTTTGAAAGCATAGATATTTAATTTCATTGAAAATGTTCCTAGTTAATAATTTACATGTATGTATTAATGTGCTGTACTATTGCTCAAGCAGTGCAGTGTTTTCCCTCAGGAAGACCATAAATATTTCTAATCTTGTGTTGGTACAGTAAATGAAAGGGCTGTTTAGGTGTGGATTCCCTTGAGCGAATCATCATCTGAGCTACACTTGAAAAGACTTTGGCAAGCACTTCATGCACTGGGAGCTGCTCTTTTACCCTTTGTACAAGAGATAACTTGTCTAAAGTTTGATGCTTGTGTCTTGGGGTAGCATCTGTTTTCAGTGGGTTTATTTTTAAAGGGAGGAAGTGCTTTACAAGACAAGATGAAAGTTATTTTGAAAACGTTCTACTGTGAGCCATTGAATAGCCTACACAACAGACCTTAAAGGCTGTCAAAAACAAATTTATACTTTCTTACTTCATTTTTCTGAGCACGTACAAGAGGGAATGTCTAAACTTTTCTAACAAAGAGCAAGAAAAAAACAGAGGTGATGGAGCAATTTGAGCTTCAGTGAGAGTATGATCTTATCGGAAGTGTATTTTAAAATTCTACAGGCAGCGAACATTAGTACGTAAGCAAACGGTTAACAATTTCAGGAATGCAGTCTGCAATGGAATGAGGAAGACAGGTGGAAGGGGACAATACATTTATGGAATTATTAGAGATTAGGTGGCAATGGTTTCGATGTATTCAGACCCATCCCTAAAGTAAATCAAAATCTAGAAAGCAGTGGTCCAGATGGTTTTATAAAAATGTCTAAAAATATAGTTCTACTGTGTCTTTTTTTATTTTTCACAGGTACATATTGGCATTCCAGTTTGAGGAGTTACCGTGGTCACTCGGTATTTGTCTGCAAGACAGAGCTGAAAAACATCTGATTTTGCTATCTTTTTTTGCATTAAGTTGTTGCTGCCTATACATGTTAAAATGTAGCAGACATTAGCAGAGTGCTTTTCAAATCTTAACAAATCTTTAGTGGTTTGGGGGAAGGATTAAAAAGGCCAACACTAAATATAGTGTGAATGTGCTTGCTACACATGTAGGGTAGAATCACTATCTGTGAAATAAAGGACACAGTAAGATGAAGAGGAGCTTTAATCTCATAAAGTGTGTCTGGTTATTATCCAGAGAAACTTGCATTTGTAACTGTACTGCTGGCCATGTACTAGAGCAATCCAAGTGAAATACCCTGCTCACCAGTGCCACACCCAGGATTTGAATCCACAATCTTCCAGTCAGGAGTCCTGAGTCCTAATCACCACTCTAAGCTACAGCCAACTGTTTATATGTAAAATCTTTAGTGGATTTGTTTAAAGTGTAACTGCCTTCAGGCAACGATATGGTCATATTTAGAGTCTTTTTTTTAATTCGTTCTACACAACTTGTTCTTTTTTAGTTTATGGGACGTACTGTGGAAGCCTGGATGGTGTCACAAGAGAGGTCCACGTGGACTCCAGCAAGATTGCGGTTCAGTTTCAAAGCAGGAGTCACATATCAGGCCGAGGTTTCCTTCTCTCTTATGCAGCAAGTGATCGCAAAGGTTTGTTATTTGTTTACGCAGTTAACTTTGAAGAAACAGTCTTCTAGAAGGCTTTGTGCACTGACTTTATTTTGACCAGAGCATTTCAATCTACATTTAATTATGGATATACAGTACATAATGAATAGTTCCTGTTTCCTTTGTTTACCATTGCCCAAGTATTAAATGCAGAGCTTCACTATTTCTAGTATGCATTAATTATTTAGTTTTAAGAGGCTGAACAAAAACTGAATTGGTGTGCATCGCATGCAGAACTGTACCATGCTCTGCTCAGGCTGTACAGCTGGTAGAGCCTGGAACTTGTGATAAACATCATAATAAACCACACAGTAATTAAAGCCAGCACAGAAAAGCACTGATGCTGAATCTGTTTTCAGTTAAACAGAATGATTAATATTATAAGTCAAGTCCTAGCCCAGGAACAATTGTATTTTACCCCTTTTGTTTAGTTTTACCAGAAACAAAAATGAACACATTTGGAAATGCAGTAAACTAGGAATGCAACCTTTTGGTTTGTATTTAAAAAAAACAAAACAATTATGTATCATTTATCCTCAGTTGGTGAAATTAAAATAAAGGCAGTGATACTGTGCTATTTAAAGTTTCCACATTGTGAATTCTAAAATAGATTTCCTCTTCTGTAAACATCCTTTATTTACTTTTTAACGGATTTTAAATGATTAGATTCCTTTTCACCGTTTTGTTTTTTGTGTTGTGTTTCCTGTCAGATCTCCTTACATGCTTAGACAAAGGAAGCCATTTTTCAGCTTCAAAGTACAGGTAAGAGTTAATTTGCAGTGTGTTCTTTGGCACAGAGATGAAAATATTCCCAACATATGTCTTGCGTGTGTTTAATTAAATCTGATCAGTGCTGTGGAAGTATGCACTGCAGTGTCCTGCCTGTAACAGCTGAGGAGGTCATGAATTGCCGCACCATGTGCTGAATTATGTGCACAGTGTGTGAAAAACCTATGCAGAAACAAACACTGGAGGCAAAAGAACAGAAGTATCGGTCATCCAACTTGTTTTTTTTTAGAATATATAGTGCCTATAGACTGTTGACACACTCTGATTTCAGGCTGGTAGGCCACAAAATATCTTAAGAAAGGGTGTGTATACTTTCTATAGCCACTTTAAGTACTATTGTTTGTTGTGTTAGTCTTGCTGTTACAGTATGTAATACATTTTGTTATTAATTGTATTGCTTCTATAACAAAGTATGTGACATATTTTTCTTAGTTGTTCTAATTAGGGATTCTAATACCATACCAATACTATAGGGGTTAAAAAATAATATAGACAAATGTAGCTCAACAAGATGTGAGAGAAACGTTTTTATTTGAATCTGCAAATTAAATTTTATCCCATTAGTAGACAAAACATGCCTCAGTCATGCATTTATGAAAGAGACTTTATGAGTCCTTATAAATGTTGGCCTGTTTCGGAGTCTCCTCCCACACACCTTTGCAGGATAGTAGAAGGTGAAGTGGATAGCGACAGCTGCTTCTTCCTTCAGCAGTAATAAGCTCCTCAACCCCACTTAAAGCAGTGACTGAATGGTCTTGATGAATTCCAAGTGATGGGATGGATTTTATATGTGTACGCATCATAATTAGAATTGTTCAGTGCACCTGACAGAGAACTGTTAGAAGTCGTGATCGGTACAGTTCATACACATTTTCTCCTGAGACTTACAGCAGGTATTTCCCACATTTCTTGTTTCAGTACATCCCATGTGACTTAATTTTAAAGAGAATTATTTGATACTTGTTCCACAACTGCTTGTAAAAAAAGCCAATAAACTGCTATGTGTTAAACTGCTTTTAAATGCTCAGGGGAAATATAAAATGATTAATTCCATTAAAGAGTATGTCATTTTAAAATGGTGATGTTTTAGGCTAGTCTTCACTTTTAATTGTGTGCTTTCTATACTTAAAGACCTTTACACTAAATTGCAATTAGTATGGTTATGTCATAAAGTCTCTGATTAACCGATGGATAAATAGGTGGGGTGATGGAGACCAGGTGGTCTCAGAAAGTGCAGGAAAGGCCATAGATAAGTGATGGATTTAATTTTAAAGGAAAACAAAGCACAAACAACAATCAAGAGGTGTGAAGTCAGGATAGGTGTAGAGTGGTGTAAAATTAAACCTACATTGAATAGAGAGAATTTAGAAGAAAAGTAGTCTGTCGTTAAGAGAAGGGGGAAGGTGTGATCCTAGCTGCAGGATAATTTTGGTTTCTGTAGTCTTTCTGATGTATGAGTTCAGAAAACCGTGTTTGTTCTCAAAGAACTCATACATCAGAAAGACTACAGAAACCAAAATTATCCTTAATGTTCTTAGTTCTTAGTGTTCATGGTCAGTTTGTTGCAATATGATGTGAGCTGTAGCACTTATTTGAGACCATTGCGCTTATTTTTCTGACCTTTCAAACTATTCTTTTTACACTTGAACTGATTTAAGGATGAACCAGCAAGTGATTGAATACTTAGGCAAATGAGGATCTAATTGTCTTAAAAATACTTACATTTTAAAAAGTTATCAGCATTTTTTTTCAATTAAAATAGATGTAAGAAGTTCTGTCTTTATATATATATATTTAAAACAATACAGAGTGTTGCCTTTGTGAACAATTAAATTGATAGTTTATAAAGTGTTAGGTAGGATTCAAATAATATGTTACTTTTTGAGTACATTTATGTTTTTTTTTTCTAGAAAATACTGTCCTGCAGGTTGCAAAGGAATAGCGGGTGATGTTTCAGGGGACGTTTCACAGGGATATCGACATGTAAGTAAACACGTTCTTATGCTTGAACAGAGAAACTACATGTATGTGATTGATGTGTTATTGTCGTGTTACAACAGAAAGTGACTATGTGCTTTCCAGTTGCAAGAACCATCAACTGTGATGATAGGTGAGGAGCAACATTGCTAACGTTATGTGCCATCAACCAACCATTTCCCTCCTCTCTAGCAGATCTGAATCTTCCTCATTCCTTTCTTGTCCTCTGCTGTTCAGCTGTGAACTGGGACTCGTTGGAAACTAGGTTACCAGGAAAGAGGGTCAAAGAGCTAGTTAGGCAAACCACTACATAGCCTTATGCAAGTTTACTCTGTTGTGCCATTATGTCAATTTCCAAAGAGCAAAAACAGCATGTATTAATATACAAAAAATATTTTTGTATTTTTATCTGTGCCTAAGAGGAGATGTAGTAAATACGTTTAATTTGTGAATTTCCGTATTTCTTTCTGTAAATTGTTTGTAGAAAGGCTATACATAAAGCTGTTTATGTAACTGTGCATAACTTGATGCCCACTCAGCATCTGTGTAACATCACAAGTCATCCAAACTAAGCTGTACTTCTAGAAGGTCTAGAGGAATACATTATAGGAAATGGAAGCAGTTGATCTTATTTTAAGGTGTGTATTAGGTTGTTTTTTATACAATTGTATGATATAACCTTAGCAACAACAATCTATGTGAAAATCAGTTTTTCGGAAAGAGTAGGGGTGTCCTGGCCAAGTTTCCCCCTGGTCTCTACCAATTATACCCTCCTAATAATCCTGATCTATGAATTTGCTTCTTTACTCTGTTCTCCTCCCCACTGAGAGCCGATGTGTGCCCAAACACTCACCACACTATGGCTGCTGTTGCATCATCCAGCTAGGAGCAACACATTGGTGGTGGAGGGGAGTTCCTATTGCCTGTAAAACATTTTGAGTGGAGTGTCCAGAAAAGCGCTATATACGTGTAAGGATTATTCATTATTTATTGTTTATTAAATCAGGAATTGTGAAAAGGATGTTCACAAACACAATTCATATTCAGATAGGTTTGGCCTGAAATTACTACCCAGTGACTTATTTTGCTGAATGCGAGTTTATTTCTGCTAACTTGAAACGTACAGCTGCACTTGTCTACGTTCAGTAGGATTTATGGACAACTTTTCTCTCTTTGCTTTGGGGACGGGTGGACTGGAAGATGAGACAGAGGAGCACCTGACTCGGATCTCACTTTTGTAGAGTTTGAGTCTGGAGTGTTGACCAAAATTCTTACGTTCAAAGTCTGAGTTGGGCTTGTGGGATGATTGGGTTTAAAAATGTTTTTCCACCCCAGGGTGTCTCAATACCAAAGAGCAGGTAGGGATGAAGCGACTGCTACAATATTTTGACCCTCAGGTTTAGTTTTGGTATCAAAATGCCCCCCCATTAACGTACAAAAACACTGATCTGACTACAAAGTCCTGATTAAACATCTAGGCTAAAACCTATATCAGTACATATGCAATATTTAATAAAAGAGTGAGTTTCCCATAGTGGTTAATAAGCACATAGCATTTTGTTTTTAAGTATTTTTGTTGAAGAGATAGACTTGAGTTTCTCAGTGAAGTTCAATGCCTCAGGAAGTGATGATAGGGAAGCCACAGTAGCATCTTCCTCAGGGTGAGGCTTGAAATATGATGTGAAAAACTGAAGTGTAGGCACTTTCATATGTGTTTTAAGCACATGGTTATGTTTGTTTTGCACTTTCTTTTGTTTAATGATTTGAAATGATCCTAGTACAGTACTTTCAAACTCCTGATGTTCTATGAGTTTTTCACGCAATAAAATATCTCAAAAAGCAATAAGTGAATAAATTCCTCCTTTGAACCTAGGATTTTACATGAAAGTGTCACTATAATTACATAATAAAACACTATAATATGCTAAATGCAAATAACACTGGAGTGTATACAGAGAGGGACCTCTTTTCCCATGCTTTGTTACAGGATCTCTGTGTGTGAAAGCCCTTGTCGACTAGCCATTGACAGGGATTCAGTTAACAATGGACCACACCAGGACGAAAAGTACTGAATTTTAGTAATAGAAAAGGTGGAACTTTCATAATGTAGAGTGGCTTGCACCTTTCCTCTTGTCCATCTCAAAATGAGCAAATTTCTGAAATACATTTGTGGATTTGGGGTTTTTCCACAGATTTTCTTTGACATTTAGTCTCATTTGAAAAAAATATCTAGAGATATGTACTGTATTAAGCTTAAATGGCATTCGTCATATTGCATTGGTGTTATATAAGTTAAAGTTTATGTTGTTAGGTTTCAGCTTTTGGTATTAACAGGAAAGAAAGAATAAGTCCTCTTCAAATTTGGTGAACATTCATATGCAGTGGTTTCAGAAATGTGATGCAAGTATTAGCATACATATATTTTCAAAAAAAATTTTTATTTCTGAATGCAGTTAAAGTTGATTTACTTGTTTCCTGTATTGCACTTAATTGTAATAACTCACATACAACTAGTGAAGCAATAATTCCCCCATCAGTTCTGCACTTGGTATACATCTTTGTTTGAATGATAAGTTTGGATCACAGACTAGTGAGAGACTAGTACTCTTTAAAATTAGAATCAGTATTATACCCTTTTATATAATTAAATGCACATTGCTTGTGGTAAATTAAAATTGAAGAGTATAGATTGGCACACCCAGTCTGAGCTCCCACAGCTTTCACATTTGCTGTAAGTTGGTATCAATATATAAGATTAAAATCAGTGTAGATCCAAATATTTAGGAACAATTACTTTCTAAATAGTCAGTATACGGGGGTATCAATATGTGAGACATCTGCCTCACCAGCTATTTGGTATTGGCTCAGTATTAATTTGCTAGTTTTTTTAAGAACCCTTGAAAGATGGAAGAAAAGAGCTCCAGTCTCTCTTCCATTAATAATAGAAGTATAGGAATATTTGTAAAAAACAACATTGTTCAGGAGAGAGGATTTCAAGAAACAGAAACAAAGTGGAAGCTGATGATGTTTACTTATGTTTTGAGTGTTGTATATGATCTTTTAAACGTTTAGATTTAAGAGACTGAAAATCAAGGCATATTGAACTTGAATAAAAGCTAATGTTAGATTACTGTAAAGCAAGCTTGAAAATGGAACCTCTTGATCTGTCTAAATCTTTTCCGATTTGAATATACTTGCTGTGGTCTGCGTGAACAGGTAGTGATGGTAACAATGAGACCGTGTGGAGTAAAGGATGGATATTCAGACAAAACTGGAAGGTTGAGAGCTCAAATCCTGTGTTGTGAAACACTGTTGTGCCCTTCAGCAGTTTACTTCATTTTAACTGGTCTACTTAAAGGCATGATTGTAGGCTTATATAAATGGGCCCACGTCTTAGTCACTTTGGAAGGCGTATCAGCCATATAAAACAAAAAGCCTTTTGAATTGTGTGAGCAAAATCTGGGGAAAAATTGATTCTACTTTGCTGTGTTCATGCATTTCTAAAAGCAAGAATAAACATATAAAAATGTTAATTGAAGCATATTTTTTTTCAAGAAGCTACAAGAGTCTCTTCAGTGTGTACTAAGATAATAACAAAATAGTAGGACTATATTATTTCAAAATTACAGTTTGAAGATAGTTTCCATTCTACTGCAATAAAGAAAATGCCTTGCCTGATCAAAGCAGGAGATAACAGCTGTAGCACTGGTGAGTTGTTGGCAATCAAGATGCACGAGAGTAGTATTGTGTGATAATGTTAACCTGCGTCACTTTGCAATACACTGTTTGTTTTCCAGACATCTGTCCTTTGTAAAGCAGCTGTCCATGCGGGAGTCATACTAGATGAGCTGGGAGGCCAGATATCAGTCGAGGAGCATAAAGGTCTAAGTCACTATGATGGCATCAGGGCCAATGGAATTCAGTCTAAAGTGTAAGTATTGATATACTGAAGCCGTTTGAGGTCATTTCCACACATCTAACTTTTTGAACATTCTGTGAATCTCTTTCACCTGGGTCCTAAATTGTCAACAAGACAGACCAAAAAATGTTTCCAAAACAAACCAGATACCCACTCTTTTCTGTCTGGGAGACCCGGGGGCTAAATATATAAATGTGATGCCCAATCCAGAGCTAACGCTGTGCCGGCACTTTTGTCCTTTCCAGCCTAAAGACAGTGACGTCTCATGCTATAGTGAAACTCAGAATAGCAACCGATACATACAGCACTGAAAATTCATTTTATGAATGCAGTTACAGACAAATTGTTTAGTACAGCTTTCTTAGTTACAGGAACCAAAAGGGTTAAATATTGTTTTAAAATAACTAGCTTGGGGACAAAAGGCATTATTGAACAATTGATATTCTATGACATACCTGTCTGCTTTTTATATAAATGACTGCCTTCCCACAGGTGGCTTTCACCTGTCTCCTGTGGTCTCAGAACATTTATTATATTCTGTTATCTATGATTTGCGACTTCTTTGACTAATAGACTAAACCAAGCTAATGAATGAAGCATAGTTCCACACTAATAGCAGCTGCAAAGATTTATGGGAGGCCACAAGCATGGAGTGAGAAGATTCAGTGGATGTCATACATTATCGCTAGCAATGCAGGCATATTTTTTATCATAATTTAGAATCTGTTAGCTTTTGAGATTGAATTCCTTTTGTGTTATTTTTACAGGTTATAGAATGGAGTGTGAGAAATTGCACAAAAATATTGTGCAAACATTTTTTTAAAGGTGTCACAAAAGTACAGTGCCTTGCTAAAGTATTTAAACCCTTGTACAGTTTCTTTTAACATTTTGTTGCTGTAAAGCTCTCCGTCATGAAATGTTGAAATAGCAATTATTTTTTATATATACTACCTACTCCATGCATTCACAGCAAAAAATATAAAGAAAATAGATCGTTTACATAATCACGGCTTTTCCATTTTTCATTCATATAAGCATTCATACCCCTTGTTGTGGCAAACTTAAATTTAATATACAGTACTATAGGTGCTCAAAATTTCCTTACTCCCTTTATTGTCCCAGATGGGAAAATGGCTTTGCAGGCAGGTAAAAGACATAACTCAGTGCTTTTAACACAACTTGAACCCATTAACAAATACAAAGAAAATATCTGCATGATGAAAAAATAAAGTAAAATATACAATCAGTTGTCCAAATTAACCTGTTAATTACCTTAATGATCCACACAAATGACCGAGTGGCCTGTGTGTGAAATAGTGTTTTTCTTTATTTTAAAATAAAAACCTCTCTTTTAGGTCCCTCAGTCTGTCAGTGAATTTCAAAATAAAAAATCAAGGAGATTTCAAAACAACTTGGGGATAAAGTTGTATAAAAACACAGCTCAGGAGAAGGGTATAAAATATGTTTCAAAGAACCTTAATATCCTGTAAACGTGGCAAACTGTTTTGTGATCAGACAAGAGAAAAGGTGAATGTTTTGATCTAAATGCAAAATATGACATGTGCTGCAATACCAATGTAGTGCCTCTCTCAAAATGTGTTTTTTATGTTTAAGATCTAGTAATCTAGTACCACAATTTCGTAGAAAAAGTGGACAAATAAATTCAATACTTTCATACTTTTTTTCCAACATACTATAGTATTCAATATTTTAATATACTATATTGAAAGCAAGGACTTCCACACTAGAAGAGTGTATAACACATGCTAATTAAGAAAATAACATCCTAGCATACTTAGGGTTATGTAATTAGTGCTGCACAAGCCTGGTTGCCTATAATTACGGCCCACGTTGGTGCAAGAGGAGAATTCAGTGACTTTGAAAGAGGGGTGATTGTTGGGGCACTCTTGGCAGTAGCTTCTCTGACTTTTGGCAGGAGCTTTTTGTGAGCAGCGGTGTCTACGATGTCAGCATGAAGCTCCAAGGCATTAGAAAGACATTAAGTGCAAAGGACAGTAGTGGGAAGAAGAGCATAATTCAGCACTATGATATCAGTGCATTAATTCCGTTCAGGATACCATAGTCAGGTTTCAGTTCACAAACCATTCATCACAACTGGCAGTGCAGTAAGTCCAGTGGTGCAAATAGCTCAAGCAATGGATTAAACCAGGGAGCGGAGAAATGTGATCCAGTCAGACTAATTTGTTTTGACAAATGGACAAGTGCATGTGTTGACAACATAACTCTAAAGCCCGGGGTGCTTGATTCTAACACTGAAGGGTTCTGTGGGTTCTGTAATGTTGAAGGATGTATTATCCTGGTGCGGTCTGAATGTACTCATTCCCTTAGAAAGCAAAGTCAAAGTTAATCACTACTTAATGGTAGTGAGGGATCATCTTCACTCCACGTTATTTCCTGCCAGGAGGTGTATTTTTCAGGATGCTAACCTCCATCAGCAAGGCGCGAGTTGTTTGACTTGAATGGTGCTGCATCCCTCCTGCAGAGTCCCGAAACTGGTAGAGTCTGTACCACAGTGCATACAAGCTGTACTGGCCACGCAGTGTGGCCCAGTGCCCTATTACATGGTTATACATTGGCGTCTAAATATTTCTCGACCCGTATGTTCTAAAGCAGTTGAAGGCTACGCTGAGAGTGCACTGAATATGTTACTGCAAAAAAGTAATTCCTGGAAGGAGCACAGACTTTTCTAATCAGGATATTGTCCTGGGTAATCATAACCTATTAAGGCTTCACTATTGAACTTTTGATCTTGATTTAGATTTTTAGAAAAAAAAAGAGTTAAATTGGGATAAGTGAGGGGCAGGTGGTGAAGTGGCTCACAGACACACAATGCCCGGACAAGTCTGGTGCTTGTAAGTTGGATTACAATGGCAGTGGCAATGGAATTTTAGCTCAGGAATATAGCAGCTATATTTCTCACCCCAAGGTGATTTCAAGCTGAGTTAAGACTTTAATAGCTTAATTTATTGCTCAGACAAGCCCATGACATTTCATGGGTTTAAATTTACTGTGTTGAAAAAATAGTATGTCTGAAATAGAATAGCTAACTACAAGATAGCATTGTTGAGACACATTTCAGTTTCATATTCTGATTGCTGTTTTTCCCCCATTTTTAACATTTAAATCATGAACAACAAATTCTCTTACACTTCAACATACAGTAGTTGCCAATGTCACTTGAGCTTCATTTGGTCTAACCAGTATTTCAGAAAGAGTTTTTGAATCTATATTTGAAAACAGGATTTTTATTTGTAATAAATTTACAGTATTACTTTAATCTCACTTATCTTTATGCAGCCATGCTTCTGTGTATTGCTCTTCTGTCTGTATAAAGAAAACCAACCCTGCCTTATTCCTTTAAAGTGTAAATTACAGTGTTGGTAGTGCCTTCTGCAGAATTAAAATTAAAAGTAGGATGCGTGTGATTTTTAGTCTGCTTAAATTAATGTTTTAGTTGTAGCAGAGAAGGATAATATTCCACTTCTAAAATGTTTTTAATTGTTATTGTCACACATTCCTTCAGTGGCTGATTTTATGCTCTTTCTACACGATGCAAGTGAACTGAAGCACAACAGGAAGGGTGTGGAAACTTTAGACCATATTGTAGAGATAATAGCTGACAGGATCTATAGGAAGCAATGATGGAGTTGCCTTCTGTACTAAAACTATTGTTCTCTCAGAGACGAGACTGTGATTTATCACTGTAATTATACTCGTTGGGACCTACTGTATTAACCCCAACTTGATTTTTTCTTTTTCTCTTTCAGTGGGTCTCTGTCTGATACACGTTTCATGTTTGTTGCAAAAGGTAAGGATAGTTCTGTTCATTCTGATATTCATAACATTCTTTTTCTATGAGAAGGCTCCACGGCCGAAACGTTGTGTTCTCTTTCTTCTTTTTTTCAGCATGGATTAAACCTATTACTTATTCTTTTTCTATGTCTGTAGAGGTGTTTTACAGTGTATGTGCTAATTGTAGCTTCCGTTCATAAGTGTTATCTTTGAGTCTCCTTTAAACTAATGTTATATCCTCACTTCGTTACCTCTTTCTGCATAGCTTAAGCTATGTACTACCAGAATAGGTTTAAAATGTCCCTGGTTACCCTCCTTTTCTGTTATGGATAAATTGTTTTTGAGATATACAGTAATTAAGTAAGAATTTAATTACTTATTGCACTTAGATTAGACACTGTAGGAAGATTTTTGCACATAACATATTTAGACACAGCACTGTGAATACAAGCAGAGGACACTCTTGAGTGTACAGTGGATAAACATTAGATGCTTGCACAACAATGCAGAATCACAACATGTTTCAATTATTGCAAGCATATTTAAACCTCATTATATGACATACCCTTTGAATTGTATTGATATTTTTTTTGTCACTTCCAGTTGGTATGATCATGCATAACGTATGATTATAATAGTTCAGGTGGGTAGTTGCGTTAGCATGTGTAGGCTGCAAAGGAACAAGTAATAGGTTTATTCCATGCTGAAAAGAGAGAGAAAGAAAACAGGAAGAAGGCTGCACAATCAAAACGTTGTGTTTTCTTTCTTCTCTTTTCAGCATGGAATAAACCTATTACTTGTATGATTATAATGTTGGTTTAGTGCTTTGTTCACCTTCTGGTCAGGGTTTTTCATTGCTTAACTGCTGGTCTCAAATGTATTCCCTGTGCGGAATCCAAAAATGTAGTAAAAGGTAACAAATAAACAGAGGTATTTTGGCTCATTTTGTAGTTAGTAGCTAAGTCTTCCAAGGATCACATCCATCTTTCTTGAAGGAGGCCAGGGAATCTGCTTTAACTACATGGCTGGGTAACCTGTTCCATGCTCAAAGAAGCCAGTGTTGTAGCTTCTGAATGCTTGATTTTTCACACTAGGGAACTCAGCCTATGCTGGTAGTTATTATTTTATCGTCCATCTTCTGGATTTTCCTCTAGGTTTCTGTCTGATATGACAGAGCTGCTAACTCTGCTTTAGCCCATTTATGTCATCTTCCCAACACAGAAGAGTGGCCACGCATTCGACTTCATCCATTTTTGTGGTGTTGGCATTCCGAACCTTTGAGCATTTCTGACCACAAGGCTTTTTTACTGTGCTTCAGTCTCACCACCTCCAGCTAATAGTAAACAATGTGGTACTTTCCATAGACCTGACTTTGCCCAATTCAAGCACTAAATCCATCTGTAGGCATATAAATTGATTTGCTAGACCTACTGTGAACCCAGGAGGGATATAGATCCTCATCCTTTTCCAGTCTTATGATTGGAGTCACTAATTATTCAGTCCTGTTCTTCACTATCCATAAAGTGCTTGAGCCAGCTAATAATTCTGCCTTCCCCCTCTCTACTCATCAGTTAACTGCCACATTTGTGCAATTCCTTCACAACAAATTGTGATATTAATGACTGGTTCTTGACCTGATTCCTGCAGTCAATACAACCTCACCCTTCCCTTTACTGATGTTGATGGTTGATAGATAATATAACTACTAAATTACATTGAAAGCATAAACATCAGTAAAAACTATTACCTGTGTCTTTCACCCTCTAACTACACTTCTATTTAAAGACAGCTTTCCATTTCCTTCTACATTTATCACTAATGCCAACTGGTCTTGTCTCCAGGCTTAAACATAATGGCTGTTGTTGCCAATCCTGTTTCCATTTTCATTAAAAAAGCCAGGAAACAGTGGTGGCTGCACAATCTTAATTTCATTTTATAGTCCTTTGAAACTAGTCAACAGTTAGTTTTAAGACAGACTTTACTGAAACAGCTTTCATCAAGGTAACGGCATTTGACTCCAGGTTACATTATATTCATTTCCTTCTGAATTTAAGTGCAGCTTTGATATTACCAATCATGGCATCTTGATGGATTAGCTAGAAAGTTATAAAGTAATCACTAGTACTTTTCTTTTCCACTAGTACTTGCTCCTGTTTAGCTGATAGCTTGTGTTCTGGCTAATAGTGTTCTGCATCAGCACTAAGTAAAATTTATAGGACCTAGGGGTCTCATTATCCTTTTCATTTAGAGACTAAAAATCTATCTTTTAATTTAATCTGCTAATACACAATTTAGCCTTTCTCTTGGTTTCACAAAATTATTTTGCTGTTCTTTGCTTCCACTGTGTATTGTGTTTGCTTATACAGTGCTTTAAAAATGATACCTTTGTTACTATTTTTATACTTCCATCTTTTTTGGAAGACAATAACTCTGGCCAAGAATTCAGTTTATCACAGTTTTAATTTTGTTGAAAACTGAAGTGAGGGAAATTAATAATGTATGTCTAGTCTGTATGTGTGATGCTTGCTTTCTTTCTTTTTTTATAAAAATGTTCCCAAAATGTGTATAGGTGCAATGTAATAGAAGCTTGCTGTTAGCTTGGTAGAGTAAGGCCTACCATAGGCCTATAGAAAACCTTCAACAAATTAGAAAGATTCAGAAAATGTTAGCTGCTTTTGATAAAGATGTCAGCTGATTGAAAATATTGCAGAAGCAAAGGTGGGTCACATGAATTTAATAATTCCGTGTCCGTTTATATTAAGTGTGGGAAACACTACATTTGTCTTATCTACTGTAAATCCCAGGAGATTCCATTTGAGGAACACAATCAAGGAAGGCGTTATTTCTGTCTGCCAATTTATCCATCCCAATCCAATCTCTGCAGACATCTTCAGTGCTTATTGAGCTTGTAATGAAATACACTGGCAGTCCACAGCTTTGATTGATCACATGCACTCTAATGATGTTCTTTGATTAACCTGGCCTTCTGAACAAGGCTATCCACAGAGAATTTGTAGCTGATGCTGCAGTATTATTGTGGCAAAGTAATCTATTCTTTTAAATTCTTACATACTGTCCATCATTTTATAGTAGTGACATAATCCTTTTCAGGTCCAGTACCAGTATTTTTAGCTGTAGTTTCCATCTCATGTTAACTTTTATAGAAAACATCTGTCTGTTTTAATCACTGTCTTTTTCTCAAGATGTTTTTTCTGTTGGCACCTCTCGCCATTTTGAGGTAACAGAAGTAGTGTTTTCTGTGGGAAAAATGTGTCCCCTAATTAAGTAAAAAGATAGCTCCACATCTCTAATCAATGTCAGGTGGACATCTAGAACTGTTTTCTCATATTTAGTATTTGAAAGAAGTAATGAAAACAGTGTATCAAAGATGAGTGCTCTAATTAAGTGTTTGTATTTTACAGATGCTGTATATGATAAATATTGTTACATTTTTCTTACAGACTGCAAAACACAAACTCATTTGAGACCAGAATCTGTCACAGCCAGTTCCAGCTGGCAGGGGAGCAGTGAAACAAAGAAACCATCTGACTGGTCTCCACACAACATAAGCTTTGATGAGAAGGGACGTTTCTGGGCAGCTGATCATAACAACAGTCGCCAATGGCTGGTTATTGACCTGGGAGAGAAAAAGAAAATCACAGGTTAGTGTGTGTTGTGATGGTACGCCCAGAGAACAGTTTGTGATACTGTTTTTGTTAAGTTTTGTAGAAGAGCCTTGTACTTAAAAAACATTAAATTTTAAAAGATGTCAGACATTTACTGAAATAGTTTCTGGAGGATTTCTGATGATGTTGTAGTGCTGTGTCCAGATGGGCAGAATCAGTACCCAGTGCTGTTTAGGAACCTGCAGGTATACTACTGTTTGGAGGAGTTTATTGGCACTAATGAAGTTGTCCTTGTTAACCCTGAATATTGGGAGTGTGGTATCATATGTGCACTGTGTGTGATAGATTGCACAAACAGCGCATTTTATAAAACAGCCTAAGATGAAGGTAGTAAGGTGATTAAATATTATGTATTTAACCTGTTTGCTTATCAAGTATCTGCACTGATAAGACTAAGTTCCTACAATCAAGAGAAGCCCATTGTGCCAGTTTAGCCTGTTTGATAGTAGTTTATTGTTGAAGAAAGGCTTTTGGTCTAAGGAACACGGCTTTCCAGCTTGCATCATACTCCAACAGCATTTTGAGGGCATGCTGTTCTCAGTTTTAAATGCACAATTTCACAGCTTATTCTAAAGAAATCCACTGGGTTGAATTTGTCAATGTCAATGCCTTTGGGTATTTTAAATGCTTGTATCAGGTTCTTTCCTCAGCCTAAAAAGGTTCAGTTCAGCCTGTAAGTGTATGACATTCCTTCTGATTTCATGAATATATTTTCTGTAACATGGTGACCAAATGTGGGATTCTACATAAGGTCTTAGTAGTGCATTGTACAATTTTAATGGAGCATCCCTTGATTTAAATTCTATACTTTTAACTGCAGTATATTTGCTGAATGTTTTTATATATATATATATGCTTGTGTTGTCTAGAAGGTGTAAGTAACATAACACAAACGGTCAGGTCTTTTTCTTAAATAGCCTCATGCAGTTTGTTTTTACTCCCTGCGTGCAAAACCTTGCACTTGTCTGCATTAAGTGTCATCTTCCAACTGTTTTTGTCCAGTCTTGAAGTTTATCCTAATCTTTTTAATTTGATGTTCCTATGGCGTTTGCTAATCTACCTATTTTGGTACTTTCTTCAGCCTTGAGTAGCTAACTGTACCAGAATTTAATTCATTGATCGATATTAGGAAGATAAGTGGTCCTGGTGCAGATCCCCGTGGTTCTCTGTTAATTAAATCTTCTCACCTTGAGCATTTGTCCTTTATCTATCCTCTTTTTACCTACTTTGATTCTTTATCTGGATGCATGACTAAACTAGTTTGACTTCTAGCATAGGTATGTACTTGCATCCTACATGAGCTTCCTTCTTGATAAATATCACCATTTATTCAATAACTCAGCATATTAAATTGTTAATTAAGTTGTCAAGTGTATATTGTTAAATGCAATTATATGAAACAAAAGTAATTTATAGACCAAGTTAAAAAAACAGATAGAAATGTATTAACCATTCTTTGGTGTCATCTATGATATACTGTTGTTAATTACTTCACACATTTTGCCTCACTTTGTGCTTCAGAAAAGGTCAGTGGGATTTGGAGGTCCAAATATGACTGCTCAAAAACATAGATGCTGGATTTGTACAAGGGGGGTAATTAAACTTAAAGTAAGACTCCTATCCTTTCTGCTCTTGAAGACTGCAGATGTTAAGTGAAATGCATAAATAACTTCTTGCAGTAGTCATCCCAGATTTCAACTTGGCATTTATATTTGCATCCCATTTGAGTTTGGAGGGTTACATAATGTAAAAGAATGGTGTGCTGTGTGTTTCATTCATGACTGAAAATGTCCTGCATAAAGATGTTTAAAAATACAGTAGACATTATTTTAAGATCAGTTGCGTAATGCCCGTGAGTAACTAGTTCATTTCATGCTGTTTGGTTATGCATTAAGCACTGTGCTGATGAAGAATGTCAGCTTTGTTTCAAATAAGTGCCTTTATATCACTGACTGCTTGAAGAATATCATTTTGATTGGAATGTGGATAGTAAGAGGAAAGTATTGTTGACATGCAATGGTTGTTGTGTAACAGGAGAAAGAATAAAGTAGCTGAAGAATACGGTCTTTCAGCAGTGGAAGGTCACTGTTTTGCCTGAGTCAAATGATGCGCAATTCTAGTGAACTCAACTAAAAATAAATCGTACAATATTGTAAACATGTTCAGAATTATACTTCTCTTATAATGACTGAGCTTTCATCTATTAAAGATTCCTTACAATAAAAAGCAATGATATAGCATACATACATTGTTTGCATTTAGTCAGAATTTCATGTTTAGAATAATAATAATACTTTAGACTTACATAGTGCTTTTCTGAACACTCGACTCAAAGCACTTTACAGGTAATGGGGACTCCCCTACACCACAACCAGTGTGTAGCCCCGCCTGGATGATGCGACGGTAGTAGTAGTAGTAGTAGTAGTAGTAGTAGTAGTAGTAGTAGTAGTAGTAGTAGTAGTAGTAGTAGTAGTAGTAGTAGTAGTAGTAGTAGTAATAATTCCTTACACTTATATAGCGCTTTTCTGGACACTCCACTCAAAGCGCTTTACAGGTAATGGGGACTCCCCTCCACCACCAATGTGCAGCATCCACCTGGAATGCTCACCACACATCAGCCATCAGTGGGGAGAACAGATTGATGAAGCCAATTCATTAAATGGGGATTGTTAGGAGGCCATGATTGTTAGAGGCCTGGGGGAAATTCAGCCAGGATGCCGGAGTAACACCCCTACTCTTTTTGACAAACACCCTGGAATTTTTAATGACCACAGAGAGTCAGAACCTAAGTTTTACGTCGTATCCAAAGGATGGTGCCTTTTTTATAGTGTAGTGTCTCCAGAACTATACAGGGGTATTAGGATCCACTCAGACTGCAGGGTGAGCCCTCCTATTGGTCCCACTAACACCTCTTCCAGCAGAAACCCAGGAGGTCTCCCATCCAGGTACTGGCCAGGCTCACAACTGCTGAGCTTCAGTGGGCTGCCAGTTGTGAGTTGCAGAGTGATATGTCTGATGGCTGATTTATACATCAAAAATATAGAACCTGTTTGAGGTGATTTTTCCATGTTTTTAAAAATTAAATAACCTTTACATTTAACCTAGAACATTTCATTATCTCTAATTTACCTTAATTATGTATTTCAATCATTTTTTACTCTCAAATTATTTATTGAGTGAAGAAATATTAAAATATGAAGGATATGTTTTTACTGAGGAGTACTGTAAGTCATTTTGAGAAAGAGAAATGTATATGGACATTTCCATTCCTGAAAATGTCCAAAATGTTAATGAAATGTCCTGTTAGTCCTATATTATACCATTGAAACTGATGTATTGATGCAGTGAATGCTGTGGTTTCAGTTTCTTCATAAATGTTGTAATGCTGGTTTTGAGTAAAGCTAGCTTTGCTTTTGGTTGTTCTTACTGTCTTAAATGGGATGAACGCCACAAATATTTGTGCCACAAAAATGCACATAGTTGCAGATTCAGAGTACTGATTTGCCGCAGGTATTTCCCGTTTTACTGGAGCGACAGCACAGCACGTCACGTTACTGGGTTTGTGGCAGCTTCAGACTCTTTCCTCTTCTAATTTCCAAGTTCCAAAAGAAAATCTTATCAGAGCACCAGTGTTCCTCTCTTACTGAAATTTAATTTCAGTACTGTGTAGGGCTACAATAATATAGGAACATGAGAAAAAACAGAAGTCCATTGGCCATAGTCTACACAATGAAAGGGACAGCTCAAAGGTTTTTTTTAGATGTTATATGAAGAATGAAAAATGTTCAGATTGTTAAAAAGGTAGGAAATGGACATGTTAAAAGGGAGTCTTCATATAAAATTGATTTAAAATATATTAACCTAAAATGAGTAGTTTTAAAACAAAAATGGAAATTGTGTACATGTTAACAGAGAGAGGCCAAAAGCAGATAAGTTTGCTGAGAAAACTTTAGGTTGCTGTAAAGTGCTTCAAAGCAAAACCCTTAATCACTGTAGGTGGATTTAAGAAGTTGCCCGATAAATAGCAGAAGTGTCAAGGATCAAGTCTTGATGTTGGATTTGATGGATGATTTTATAATATTCTAATAGCAGAGGATTGACAGCCGATGTTCAGTATAAGAATAACTTTATTTAGTAAGGAGTTGTATCATTATTTTTATTTTTATTTGAGTTGTTTTGTCCTTCGGTAATTTTTGTTTGTTTTTCTTTGCAGGAATAATAACCGCAGGATCTACAGTTTCCGATCTCGACTTTTATGTTCAAAGTTACACAGTTGAGCACAAAGAAAAAAATAAGTGGAAGACCTACACACGGAACAGCAGCTCTGAAGATATGGTTAGATATCATCACCACCTAGTACTTGTGCCTGGGGTCTTACAAAAACCTTCTGCCTTGCCTTTCGTAGCCCGAACCTTTCATCTGTTCCAGTTCTAAAAATATTGTAATACTTTAGAAGAGTTTGACAAGAATCTCTTGTATAGGCAGTAGAAACACTGCGATTGAGCGAACACTGTATGTACAGAAAGCAACAATCCAGTGTTACTATTCATTTTTGCACCAAGAAAATTGGACAGCTTACTTTTTCATCCAACACGTTTTTGAAAATACAAAATGTTTTTTTTTCCACTTGATCAAATCAGCGATGCTGAGCTTATGGTCATAAGCAGCAGGACGTTGTTTAAAAAGACATGTTGCTTTATGTAGATTTTATTTTTTGTACAAATGTAGCTGTACAGTTTCACCCAGAAGTAAGCATTTAGCTTCACGCCTTTTTTAAAATTTAATTAAATCTTTTCCATTTATCTGCAGGTATTTGAAGGAAACCTGGACTACTGGTACCAGTCGCGCAATAATTTCCTCCCCCCTATAGTGGCACGCTTCATCCGCATTGTTCCTCAGACGTGGCACCAGAGGATAGCCATGAAGATCCAGTTGCTTGGGTGCCAGTACATACGAGGTGAGCAGAGGCACATTGTGTATGGGCAGAACACTGGTGGATGAAGTTTGAGATTATTATGCTGAAAAGCCCAAACTCCTGAATGTTGTTTTATTGTTTTAAAGCAAGCTAAGCAAAGTCAGCAACGGGTGCAAATGCAGGGCTCTGCTATGTGAAAAGATATAAAGGCTGTCGGTGCCCTTGGGTTAACCTCTAGTACTGACCATGTTCCTAATCCTGCATTAGGTCACGTGTGTGTGGTGTCAACAAACATATGCAGTAGGGCTGTTTGCTGTAAACCGTAAAGACCTGTTACTTCTACTACATGCTGCTAATTTAGGAGGGAAGAGTATATACTGTTATGTTGTCCCGCAAAGATACATTTCAATTCGTTTCTTGATTGTTGACCTCAACGCTAGGTCTATCTTAATCACATTGAGATTTGAAATATACAGTGCATGTAGTACAAAATAGTAGTTTTCAAGAGTTGTTGCGACAGTGATAAGGGTAACACCTTTTTAATTGAGTTTTCTGTCTGTTTTTTCCCCAACAGCAAACAATTCAACTGAGCTGAAACCAGATCATGTAAAGCCGAATTCAAAGTCTGTAGGGGAGGATGAAATCACAGAACCAGTTGCCTCACAACCTGACCTCGGTGAGAACGGTGCAGGCCAGTGACGGTGTTACAGATTTTCATATTAAAGCCCATCAAACATACTAAATGAGACTTATTTTTGTTCTTTTTTAGTGAAACTGGCCGTAATTATTGTCCCGACTCTTGCGATATTGGTTTTACTGGTTGTTGGAATTTATGTTTGCAAGATGGTGCAGAAGTAAGTAAATGTTTAATACTTTTCATAATTCTCTGTACTTACACCAAACATGGTCTTTAAAAGTTATAAACCATAGTTACAGGAATAAGTGATGCAATTTCATAAAGAGTCGTATTATCTTTTCACTTAATTCGTACTTGCATTAAAAGTATGTTTGGTGGGTGTAGTTGGTCCTTTCCTGTACACTATGCAAATTGTCTGGGATCCCCTGAGATGAAAAACATGCAGTTTATTAAATTTTCTTTAGAATCTGAGGAATTCAGGATTAAATACATCTTTTATCCAGCTTTATGTACCCTGGAACAAATTATAATTCAGGAATCAATTTGCTTCAGGTCACTCAGGTTTTGAAGTGGGCACTTTTCTTAAACTGCTGCAGGGATCTGTACGGTATGTCACAGTCAGGGCTTGCATAAACTGGCCCACCCATTGAAGGTAACCAATTTGGAAGTTTCTCATGTCCTGACCTGATCAGCTGCTAGCGCATAATGGCTACCATGGTTCACAGTAGGAAGGATATCACACTTGAGAGATGGATGAGATGGGTTCCCTATGTGGTCCAATATATAAAGTGCTTGGGGATCCTCTGGGGGTAAAAAGTTTATATAAATGTAAAGAGTGAATATTATTATTAATAAAAGGTAAGGTTAGGTTAGATGTGGGAAGCAATTGTCTGACTTTCTTGTAGCACCAGGCCTTCCAGACACGAAGCAGTTGCCTCCCTCGCTTCCTTTCCATAGCTGTGTGAAGGAGAGTGTGTTGGTTATCAGCAGGGGCAAGTGACCAACCAGACAAACCAGGATTTGTTATCAGTGAATGACTCTTTGGCTGTTGTCTGTGTCTGTTCAGATTATTAGAGCAGTTCTGTCACAGCCAGTCATTAGGAGACCTGGTTTTCTTTGTGTTTGTCCAGAGTAAACTAAGAGCCCTGATTCACATATGCCAAACATTTTATTTGGGGGAAAAAAGCCAGGGACGGCCTGTCACAAGTGAGGATTTATGGAAGCTGGCTGCATTGTTTTACCCCTCATATCTATCCATTAATATGTGTTTCCTTTGTGCAGGGGAATGTAGAGATAGAAGGGGTTAAGGGTCACTGTTAGGAAATTTGCCAGCTGCTGTTGCCACCAGTGAAAGAGAAATAGTAATTAATGATGTAGAGTCACTGCACAAAGCCACAAGTGGCTGTTGTGGTGCAGAGACAATGGGCCCTGACCTCCTGTGATAAACCCAGGATGTGGTTGTGTTCAGATAGAGGACTGTTGTCTTTGCTACTCATAATTGCATTTGTCATTTTCTTGTAGAAAGAAGACAACAGAAAACACATACGGTTCATCTGATGCTCAGAAATCAGGTCAGTAAAGATTTTTCTAACCTTAAGTGGCTTTTTGAAAATCATTTAAGAATTCACCAAGAAAGGCACAGAAGTTCAATTTTCCCAGGTTTGTCAAAATCTCAGACTATGCAATACTAATATTTGCGGGATACAGGTTTATCTTGTGTCTTTTTTGGATACTGCACAGCTTCAGCCTGTGTTGCACAACATTTATTAATCCTCTAGCTTATATAATTGTGTGGTAAATCAACTATTCAGATTACAAAGATTTCTCTTGTGTATCCATTATAAATTATCAGAGATTGTGTATGTAAAAAAAATGAGAAATTTGCCTACAAACTGAACCTTATTCTGTGGAAATATTTGCTGTGTGAATTTCTTTAAACATTAGCAGGAGTGTAGCAAACATTGTGCAAAACAATAATTGCAAGTGTATTGGAAATAAATTACTTTAGAAGGGAAGATTACTTATCGTTTGTCCACAGTGAAAATCAAGTCTTATTATCTCATGGGCAGTTTGCCCACAAGGTAAACCTTGAGTAATTGAATCTGTTTGGTGGTTTTAATGTGGCATTATGAAATGGTGTGAGAAAGTGTGAGTGTGGGAAAATGGTAACAGTACAACACAGAAAGCAGTTCAGGTCTGTGCATGCCACTGGGGCAGACACGTGTTAACAAGAAGAGACCAGACCTGCAGGTCCTCAGGCACAAATTCAGAAATATTTGGAAACAGTAAAATGGCATTTTTATGTTATTATTTCTTAGGTCGATAAGCTTCTGTTGTATACAAATAAATAAATCGGTCTTCTTTGCATTTTATTTTGTGTCACATCAGGTTGCTGGAAACAGATAAAACAGCCATTTGCAAGGCACCAGTCTACAGAGTTCACCTTCAGCTACAGCTCTGAGAAAGACCCAATGCAGAAATTGGACCTGGTCACCAGTAGCATGGCGGGTAAAGAGCACGTAGTTACAGTGTTTTCCCAGTTCGGAATTCTCCCCCAGGTCACACATGCTCCCATAAAACTCTTCAAACCTGTTTATAATATCTAACCAACATTAGTTTTCACTTGACCTTAATTTAGGAATGTTTCACGAATGGGACAAACAAAAATCACTTGGCTTATGCTTGCTTATGCTCGCTTATACTTAACTTTTATAATTGAATTATGTTTCCTCTCCCTGGGTGTTTTAGAAATACTGTATATAGATATGACAATAAAAATGGATGTTAATCTTTGTACAAAAAAGGTATACAAATGAAACCTTCTTAGAGTCAGGCAGTCTAGTAGAAGTTGGTGTATTAGATGTGAGTCTGTGTCCCCTAATGTCAGAATCCACAATGGTTTCCAGCATTGTTATTGCCATTAGACCGTGAGCTGTCGATTGGGGGAAAATACCTTTGTTTTCTTTTTATTAAAGATTACCACCAGCCCCTTATGATTGGAACAGGGACAGTGACAAGGAAAGGCTCTACATTCAAGCCTATCGACACAGATGCCAAGGAGGAGTTACAAGAAGCTGGGACACACTATGACTACCTGCACACAGCCAATCCGTATGCACTGCCCCTGACAAATCAGGAACCGGAATACGCCACTCCTATAATAGAAAGACACAACTTAAGGAAGGAAGGCTTCACACAAGAAGTGGGCTACAATGTGCCAGCTTTGAATAAGAATCATTCCTTCAAGACAAATGATTGCAGTACTTACAGGAAAGAAGACAGCTTAGCTGGAGACTACCAGACACCACAGATCAGAGCAGAAAGACTGCAAAATGGAAAAGGACTGTATGACAAACCGAAACAGAATGTTGCTGGAACAGACTATCAGAGACCACAAGTAACGTCCTCCATGACTGAAAACTACTCAATACCAAGAGACTGCTTGAAACTGGCAAGAGCCCTACCACCGTGAGCTGACCCTGGACAATGTCACCTGGCTGGTCTCCTGCGTTATTTATTTGTTGAACTGTAAACTAAATCTTTATAAAAACATTTATAAAAACTCCTCAAATAATTTATTGACTCCTTCTGAAATTAAAATGAAAATGCATTTGAATCGGTCTGTTTGCTGTCTGAAATGTGATTCAGCTTTGGGGCAAAAATAGTTTCTAAGGTGTCTGCACTGGAAGCATGATTTTCTTTCTGCATCTCATAAGCTGTACTGTATACTTCATTCTTGTTTGCTCTTTGCATAATCTTGACATTAGCTCAGTAGTTACCATATATCTTTGATTGATAATGTGAAGACATTTTGAAGTGCGCAGGGCATAATGGAGTTATGTTATGTATGGAGTTACAGTTTCTTAATCATTATATGATTAAGATCTCTGTTCTTTTAAATTGTCTTTTGAGCACAACACTGGACAGACATAATTGGCCAGTTTTGACTTTGAAAACTTATGTAAATGTAAGACTTTTAAAACTTAAAAAACAACTTTCTTGTCTATTTTAAAATAAGGATTTATGTTTTTATGCCAACCAACTAACAGAGAGCGAATTGTTGCAGAAGGGTGTGTGGATTCTCTGGAAAAAAACAACATCATGATGCAGTTATATAAAAGTAAAAGGGTTCCCATGTTTTCTGTTCTGCTTGTTTAGGTATGCCTGCTTCGGTAATAATATTAACTAGCTGAGGAGAAGACGGTTCTTATGAACAGTTCCACATTGTAAATGAGGATTTGTTCTTAGCTATAATGAGTGTTTGGGAGGCTTATCAAAAATTTGGCAGTGTCAGAAAATGAGGTCTTTATCAGGTTTCCGTGCATTGGCTGCAAAGCAGCTTCTACCAAATATTGTTTAACAAAATCTGTAGTTGTGGCATAACAGATGGTCTAAAAGATGCCTCCTAAATAGAGGCAGTGCTACCTCAGAGCTGGAGTCTAAAGATTGGGAAGGCACCAGTATCATTAAATTTACAGTAAAAGTGCCAGATAACTAGACTACCTAATTGGCACAAAAATATTAATATTGGTTCAAACGAACCTACTGCAGAAGTACAGAAATCTTGATGTTTCCTTTTTAAGGAGAGTTATAGAAAAATAAAGATTGAAATGGTACTCTTTAAACAAATTGAAAGTTCCATTTTTAATGTTTTAAAATTGTTTGTATATATAGTAACATAATTGTGCATTGTCCTAAGCTATTGTCATGTGAAACACAAGTTATTTTTGGTGCTTCTGTGCTTAAGTGACAAGCTTCATGAATGGACTAATTACATATATAATTTCTGTGAAATACTTTCGGGGAGTGGGGGACTGTATGTATCTGTATTGCCTGCAGAAACAAATCAGATGCAGTTTTCATTCATGTCTGTAAGCTGTAAAGTACACAGGCTTTAAATAAACCGATGCAAGTAAAGTCTGTGCTTGCAATTTTGGAATTGTAAATGCATGAAAAATGTTTATTTGGCTTTGAGGCAAGATGGCTCTGTGCAGGTGCACCTTTGAATGCAAAGTTTGTGAGTCAGGGTGTTTCGAGTTCAGAAATTCCAGCTGTGAAACTGCTCTCTCCAATTCCATTCAGCTGTGGAGCACAAAGTCATGTAGCTTCAGTTCAGTCTCTTTACAGTATAGCAGGAATGTGGCAAACGTGTGTCAGCAGAAGAGCAGCTTGGCACATCTCAAGTCCTGCAGTGAGTCACTGATTCCCAGCTTATGACCAATGTAATACCCTAGCTGCTCTGTTAGACACCCAACAATACTTTAAAGTGGACTTGTGCTTATGTTTGAATTTGCTTTCAAGTACAGGGATTGTAATGTAGGTCGATAACGATAACAACCTTGAAAATGAAACGGTTATTGCAGTAACCTGCGGTTGAAAAAAGTGAGTTAAACCAGGTGGAGTGCGGAGGGGTTTCTTCTGTGTTAGCACTTGCATGTTGAGCAACACATTCTGGCATCCTCCAGCTTTTTGCTTGGAAGTGTGAAAGATCACACGGTATTACAACTTGCCGTCCTTCATTCCCACACTGACTCTTCAAAAGAAAAGTCAAGGAAACAGTGCTGTTGTGGTTCAAAACTGGTGTCAGAAGATTTGAGAAAAACTCACCAGCCCTCTCCTTTATCTAATTTTGCTCTTCTGTTCTTACAGACTTGAGGCTTATAAAAAGAGTCAGTAAATAGACATACACCTCTTTCATAACCTAATAACTAGTCCTTCATTTTTTCTTGAGCAGTACAATCTGTTGCCAATTACAGTGTTAACCATTTCATTGAAGGCTATACTCTTGATATTTGAATATATATATATGAAGATTAGGAAGATCAGTATTCTCTAAATATATTTGACAGTAGTTTCCAGTATAGCTCAATACTTCTTTTCAAACTTAGATTTATTGTATAATTAAGCATTCAAATGTATTAATATTAAGATCTAATTTGGATAAAACCTCTAAAAGCAGTTGGCAGTAATATGTAGTAACATGTGGAAGCAGTAAGAGTTTTTTAGGTCTTTGTAGCATGAGCTTAAGCTTAAATGATTTTAAATTCTACAGACTGGCATGAAAGAATTTAGGTTGATTACATCATTGTGTAATTTCATAAAGACAGAAAATTATTCTCCGACATGGAAAGCCTTTTCAGTCTTGAAAAACACAGTGCCTTGTTGTAAATCAAATAATTAGAATATTTCTTTAACGGTCTAAAGCTGGTTCTGCAAATTGAATTGTTTCCTTGTGTTCTTCTTATTTAGAAAGAATATGTTTAAACTGGACAATTTAGCTTTTTTACTTTGACACATCTAATTAACCCCTGTCAACAGATTATAAACCCCTATAAGAAAGATAATGAAGTATTGGAAAAACCAGGAAAATCATGAATAAGTGCTTCACTGCTTTGTTCTCTATTTACCATTTTTAGTCCTCGATCGGATCATTTTATTGGGGTTTCAACATGCATGTAGTAATTGGTCCCATGTGTGGGCCTGCAGATCTTACTGCCCTCTGGTGTTCACTTCTCCTTACTGCCACATTGCACACTGTACAGAGGAACAGTCCTGGAACTGAGCAAGTGATGTGGCCACTGTATTACATCTGTGTTCACAGAGCATATCTGCTCCAATTCTACTTGGCAGCATTTACTGAGCAACAAAATTGTCATTTAGTATCATGAAGGAATATAACAGGTTTAAGAGACTAAACCCGTGACTGCATTACAGATTTCTTCTCTGTTCTGCTGGTCTTCACTGACACTAATTCATAATCATAAGATGTGTTAATGCTAAACCTGATAAAATTATTAGAATTACTTGACTGTAGCTGCCAATGGTCACGGCTAGGAAACCTGAAAACAACCTGGTGAGTTACTGTCAATTGGAATACTGTAATTGGAATTTAACTTGAATATACTAAATATTTTTGGCAATGTTTTCTGCAACAGCAATTATGAGAATTTGATGGAATTTTTTGCAAGTACCTTTCAGAATTCAAATTCAAAACCTGACCTATCTCAAGAATAATAAATTAATCCAAAAGCTTCAGAGAATGAATATCCTTAATCTCCCACCCAGTATTTAAATTTACTTTCTAGAACTGAACCATGTAGGTAAACAATGTGATATGAAAACATTATTAAACATCTTTTAACGTATTCAGGTACAATTTACAGCCTGGAAAAAGAACATGCACCATGCAGAGCATCATGCTGTAAAAAATCTTAAAAACAGAGCATGAAAAGAAACCTAGCACATGTTCTTAGGAAAAAAAAGAATAGAGATTATGGACGGGTGGGGAAAAAAGTGATTGGAGACAAGCTGACTGCAGGGTGCTACATCGATCCTGAGTCATCATTGACTGCCCTGTGGGCTAATCCTGACATCTCAGCTGGACAATTCATATCTACATAAAGCCTCATGTAACAGCTTTTTTTGCTACTTGTGAATGTAATGGTTATCTGTCGGTTGCCCTACTCTTAAAATGTGAACCCGATTCTATGGGTTCAAGCATATACGGCTCTTGGAGTACAGGAGAGGAATGAGACAGAATCCCACAAGATAGCATCTGCAATATACTGTACATATATATCTATAAATAAGGAACAAGTAATAGGTTTATTCCAAATTTCAGCATGGAATAAACCTATTACTTGTTCCTTTGCAGCCTACGCATGCTGACGCAGCTACCCACCTGAACTACTATATCTATAAATATACAGCCTGCATTTTCCATTGGTGGCCACACATGCTGCTGTCATGTGATTTTCACAGTAGATACCCTCTTGTATTGTATTGTTCAATACAGTATAGGTGCAGCTGCAATAAAAAGAACTGTATTACAACAGTTATGTTTAGTTTAAGTTAATCTAGTTATGTGTAGCATTAAGTAAACTGATCTGCCAATGGTATGAGATTTTTGGGAACTAAGATTTTAAAAAAAGTTTTACAAAAACATAATTAAAATTAAGGAGAACAAATTGTAAACATATTATCATATTTTCCAACGAATTAATACTTTCCCCCCTTAAAAATCATCCCATTAGAGACTGTATAGTCGTTTGCTTTCATACAGCACATACCACAGGACAAGGGGAGACACCTAGTGGCCAATTAACAACTCCAGGATTTGAAAGGTTAATGCACAGTGTAGTCTACAGGGAAGGATTCATATTTGACCTGGGCTTCCTTTTCCTGTGTCATTTGTCACATGAAATAAATTCACACCATTTCATTGCAAAGTCTGTTGCTGAATGAAAACAAATTGGCTTCACTGAAAACAATGAGATCAAAGGTGACCCCCTCAATCTTTGCAATGTGTTAAACATGGAAATATTAATTTCTACAGCAAAAGACGGGACCACTTTTTTTGGACACAAACTTCTAAAACCTGAATTTTTCAGCCTGTGTGTGTACTTGGCTGACAGCACTCACATGTGACAAGCTTGGTCCCAGGCTCTGGTTACCCAATACATGGTTTAAACAACACATTATTCAAAAGTTTTTTTAACATCTTGCATAATTTCCCCTTTGTTTTGAGAGTAAAATACTCTGTTCTGAAACCATTTACAAGGGACTAAGCATGTCTGCATAGACTTATTCAAGTTCCCAAATATTATTGTTAAGTATCGGTGCTAGTTATTCTGGTTTACAGACTTAGTCTTTTCACTTCAGAAAGCACATCTGCCTGGTCTACACCAGATATAATAAAGGTTGGAGCCATCTTACAGTTAAATAAATCACATTTGTTATATAAGAAAGGTTGGAGCCTTTTTACAGTTAAATCACGTGTTATAAGGACTGTATTAACCACTATAAAAATGTACTTTCAGTTAATAGTGTTCACATTTCTGAATAAATTACTCCATCACACTCCTTTTAAAGTCTCCTGCAGTATCTTCTCTGATAAGTTAAAATTCTGTAAGCTAGTGAATGGCAGAGATGTTGGTTTATTGAATCTCTAATTAAAATCGTATGCAATCACAACTCAACTACAACCCAAATCCATATTCAACAGTAAACTGTGTGGATGGTAAAGATTCAATTTTTTTTCTTGTTTAAAAATAAAGGTATCAAGCCACAACCAGGGACCATTCCTAATTACTGCCCTCCAGAAACTGCAAGATCACACAGCTTTATACTACTATTGTTTCTCACAGAGACCCGGAATGCACGTTATTTTGAGTAGACACACAGCAACCGTGGAAAGCAAATCAGAAAACTCTGCCATAAAGATGCATAAAGCACTGGGTTTTGACTTCAGCAATGCATGTGGAAAATTATTTACTGTAACAGTCAAAACAAAATAAAAATAAGAAACCCAATGCACGCCTGTCTGTGGATAACAAAAGCACTGTAACTACTATGTAAAACAGTTCCACTATGTTCCGGTAATTCAAAACAGACTACTGTATACGTTGTGTCTGTAATGGGTCATTCTGCGTTTTTCAATAATCTAATGGGGAGATCCGGCGTGTGAGCTCAGTTTCTGTAAATGCCCTTCCACTGTTCTATCCCGGTGGTGGAGTGGGAGGACGCTCTACAGGCTCTATTTAAAGCTGTTCTCAGAGCACCATGCCTAAAGGGCGATGCAGATAATTGTGGCCCTAGAGTGAACAAATGATAACAATGACAAGACCGAGAAAGAGAGTCATTAGCTGTACCTTTCAAAATGACCGTTTGGCATTGTTTAAAACATTTACAGCACTTGATATTATACAATTTTTTAAAAACATTACCACCAGCACTGTGAGAGCTATTAAGTGATGGAACCATAGTAGCAATGCTGTTTTCTTCCTTTTCCACTAATGCCAGTGTAGCCCTTATTGAAAGAACACTCACAGTGAAAAGTCAATTTCCTTTACCCTAATTAGCACATCAAAGACACATCAACAATGACTGCTACGGCCTTATGGTATGGAAAAGTTGATGGAAGTTTAAAGAAACTGGACTGACTACTTGATCTCCATCTGAGCAAGATAAATTTCCATTTATTCAAATATTAGACATGTTACACATGTACCACTGAAGTGTAATTAAGACATATGATACATTAAAACTGGTCTTCTTGGGGTCTGGAACAAAATGCTATTTTATTATATGGAAAAAAAAATCCAGCCATGGATTAAAAAAAAACATTCTGCAAAAATAAGCATGCTTAAATCAGATTTTGTTCCATAAAGTAACACTGGATAAATATGAATACACAAATGCAATCATTAACTGCAATGGCAGTTAACTTGCATCACAAGCACAAAGGGAAATATGGCAAGCCTTGAATGATCAAGGTGGGTTGATTTTATAGCATTAAATGCAAAGCAAAAGGTTTTCACCACAGGAAAAAATACATGGAAAGCCATTACAAAAAGTCAGATATAGAAGAGACATAAGACTAAGGGACAACTGCAAAAGCCTCCCTCATTTAAATGAACACACTGTACTATTTTTCACTTTTATTCAACAAAACTAAAAGAACCCGGTATGTAGAAGGGAAAGAGACTGCAATACTGCAGAGATCAACAACAAAAAACGTTCTAAACCCACAGAAATACAGTAATCAGTAGCAAATTAAAAAAAGTTATACACACCAGATTTGAAGCAAACAGGCAGAAAGTGTTTTGTGTATATCTACCGTATAATGTTACATCACATTACTTCCTCAGTGTTGGTGTAAAGACAATAAATCATCTGTTTATTGCTGCTAAGTAAAATGCCTGTGTTTGATTGTAACTTAGAAGAGTTACAGGTCGTGTGCTGCATTTTGGCTTTTAACGCTCATTATATGTTAAAGCTTTCAAAGTGAAATGCTTGTCTTCCTTCCTGCCTGTCTCCTTGGTACAGACTTTCACCTTGTGACCCTGCAACTGAAATCCAGTGTGACCAGTGCAAGCCCTGGATATTGGTCATCTTTGGTTAGAGGCCAGAAATAAAAAACAAAAACTTCCCCAGTAGGCAGTAGGCTGCAGGAGAAACAGAATACACTGGAAGAAAAAGGCCTCAATTTATCTTTTAAAGAAGACTGAAAACACCAATGGCAAAGGAATAACATACCTGTATTCAAAATGAAAGGTGGCGGAAGCACAGTTAGGACATTTCATTACATCCACACAAAAATATAGCAGTAATGGTAAAAAAAATAGAATGCTTTAAAAAAGCCTTTCAAAGGTATAATAATGATGCAAAATTGACAGTCATAAATACATTGCACTTTTTCACATTATTATGATACAGCAATGCAAATAATTACAATGTGCTTCCTTACTCTTACATTATTTCCATCCAAGTACTGTACAAGGTATTCAACACAATACTGCACATTTCCATGTCACCTCTTTTAGCTCAGAGGACAGGTGAAGGTTTCCAAAAGAATTCCACATCAAAGTATACTGCAACAGACATGTAATACATATCCAGGTAAGACTGCTGGGAGACAGGAGAAAAAAAACTGATGGTTCACACACCTTCCTTTTATTTACAATATATGTTCAAAATTCTTGTATGAATAGAATAAAAATGTTATGACACAAATAACTAAATTAAAGACATGAGTAGCAACACTACGTATTACAAATACTTCAGAATTAAAAAAAAAATACCTGCCATCTTTAGCAACCTTGAAGGCATGCAAAATGTAAAACTACTGTTAGAAAATATTCAAAGCAGTCAATTTAGTAGGTGTAGTGTATGTAAAGTCCACTGTGCAATACTTTTGTCAGACTGTTGTGTGCCTTTTTCCACTTCTTTTATTCCATGGATAGTCGGTACATGACCACTGTTCTCTATTTTTCTGTTCTCCTGTCCAGCTACACCAAGTCTAAGGCACCTCAATAGGAGACTGATTACTGCCTCATTCATTTGTAACAGGATCAATAGTGGGACATGCATTTTTGTGCTAGGGAGTTTTATTTCATATATTATTTATATTTATAGTATTTATTTTAATATATAAAGCCTGGGTTTTAAATTGATGGATCAAGGTGTATAAAGAGAAAAAATACTTATTTTTCAAGTACATCTACAAATAATCCCTATAACAGTTAATTTACATTGAAACCCTGAAAATGCCTGATGAGCAGGGACAGATAGCTATTCTGTTTTATTACACTATGAAATGGCACGGAACTGTTTCACACCTTTATCAGATGTAAAGTTCAACATTAGAAAAGTGGAGTAAAGACAAGCAAACCTGATTCACCAAGTATTTGGTCATTAAACAAATGGGCATATGAATAAATAAGACATTCACTGACCCAACACCATGTTAAAATGTAGCTGCATTGCAGAGGTCTGTTAACCAATACTTTGCAGTAACTTGCAGTGAAGGAATAGAAATTTAATTTAACCTTCAGAAGAGCTCAGTAAATCTCCTTTACAAGCCAGGAATAAAGAGTTAAATAGTAGTTTAGCCCATGACGCAGTCCCCACTAGCTCAGTAACAGCTTACAGATGCTCCAGACAATAAAAAGTAATATCACTCTAGGCCAACCCCATACCCCTCCCCTTTAACCCATCAATTAATCTCCTGCATCATTTGCGGGACCTGCATCTGAACACTCCAGTAATATGGCAACTTCTCTTTTCTCTGTGGCTTATTACTGCTCAAACAGGAATGGTAACATGCTTTTAGTATTGTTTAGAATGTATTGCAACAGTAACCAGTGCAACGCCATTCTCCTTCTTTTATTCTCATGCATCTTCCCATTGTCTCCAACGCAGTCCATTCTCTTAAAATACAAAACTCTCATTATTTAACACATATACAAAGTCTTTCATCCCCTGTCTTCTTTCACCGGCAGCCTATGAAGAACTGTCAGCAGACTCGGCAGTCTTGGGTCCAGTTTCCTCTGACGCGGTTTCATTTGATATCCCTAGGTCTCCATTCTCCACACCTTCACTCACAGATTTCTTCTCCAGGGCTTCAAACGATAAAGGACATATTAGACAGAAATAAGGCTTGCAACTAAATTGAAGGATTACTTGCCTACCAGAGATAAACATGCTTGAAAATAAGTTTTGCTTGTGTTTCCCCAATTTGCTTCAATCAATAAGCTACTGGCAGCCATATAAGCAAGATCAGCTGAACAGCTTCCTCTCATTTGTAACCATTATGTTCTGTTATGCAGATCTGACACAATGTGCTCCTTTATCTCAGAAAAACTTAAAATGCCAGCTTTCTTCTTTCTGACTTTCCTGATGTCAAGAGACTTTTCAAGAATCTCTTGAGAGCAAAAGAAGCTTCACGAGAGTGATTCAGTTATTTGATTACACTTTGGCTGTGACATTATAAAATAAATCACAGCACATGTCTCATAATTTACAAAGATGTCATGCATGTAGTGGAAATGCCATGAGAAGCTTCTAAATTAAATCTCTGACAAATTCATCAATGCCTTCTCAGTAGACAAAATAAGATTACATTCTCTGCTTTATACAGAGATGGTCCAATGATTAATTCTTTTTTTTTAAATTGTGTTCAATAATGAACAAAATTCACATTAATACATGTAATGCTACTGAAGATGAATGTATTGTTTTATACTGAAATGATAAGACAAGAAACATTACAATCTGAGCAGCAACGCAGCAAAAAATCTAACAACAGCCTTTTGCAAACTGAGTTTATGATCTGTGAAAATGTAAATAAAAAACCTCCATGTTACTGTTCCCTTAAATCCCTTCAAATCGGTTCCCAAATGCGGAATATAAGTGAGTGCACTACAATACACTGCAAGGAAAACAGATTTCTGCCAAAGGGTTATATATAACATTATTTCTCCTTTTCAGACTTATACTCCATTGAAATTTAATGAAAATGCGTAGTTCTTCCCCAAGCGTCTTTATTTAGCATGTCATTTCAGCCTTTTGCCTACCCCTACATGTGCTCTAACCTCTATGGCCTCCCTAGTTTACCTTGCAATGACCCAGTATCCCCAGAGCTGCTGCTGCGTTTTGCTGCGGAGGTCTCCTCCAGCTCGTCAAGGTACAACCGGTAGCGATGCCCGCTGTCGTCCTCATATTCCACGTTCTCATCGTCCGAGTCCACCTCCGGAGCCACGTAGACAACCTCGAACTCAATCTCGCCTCTCTGGAAAGACAGTTTAAACAATTGTCGATTGAAAATCTCCTTTCAGGGTTATGGTGTTCAATTGTTTAAGATGTAACTGTTTGAAAAACTTTTAGTGTCGTTCATCGTTCTCATTCGTGTTTTTAACGTTTCCAATCACGGGTCCTGTCACCTTGACTGTCTGATTTGATGTTCGGTGTTAAACTGTCGATCCCACATTCTTGTGGGAATCGTGTCATAGCCAGCAGCACTTACAGCTTAAGGTGGGGGTAAGGCAGGTCTAGAGGGTTTCCCTTCCACCCAAAACAACTCCTCGGCCACACACTTGTGCGCTTGTCAATTCAACACTGAATTGATATCTACTGTACTCTAGTTGTCTTTTTGATTTAAAACAGCTATACAGTCCGATAACAATCTACAGCTCTGTAAATGATACTATTAGAAAAGACCTTTAAATACCTCAGCTGTACTCACTATATTTTATGTCCATCTTCTCTTAATGCATGAACAAAACGTAAGTTGTATATTTTCACTACATGGGCTGCACACTGGCGCAGTGGTTCAGTTCAGCGGCCCTGGGTTCAGTTCCTGGGGTGCTACCTGCATGGAGTTTGTATGTTCTTCCCCGTGTTTGTGTCGGTTTCCTCGCACAGGCCAAAAACATACCGGTAGGTTAATTGGCTTGTAGTGAAATTAGCCCTGGTGGGAATGTGTGAGTGTTTGTGTCTGTGTGTGTCCTACAGTGAAGAGGCCTCTTGTCCAGGATGTACCCTGCCTTGCGCCCACTGCTTGTCGGGATAGGCTACGGCTCCCCCGGGAAAAAGCATTGGATGAAGCGGCAGCTAGGAAATGGAAGGATGTTTGTAATAGCTAGAATCCAGGAACCATGCACCTGTATCCTGTCTTTCAATTTCCAAGACGGAACCATGGCCACGTGATACACCAAGCAGGTTCACATTAAGATGTGGGGAAAAATCTTGTTGAAATTATTACACAAAATCCATTTAAAAATGCACCTCTGTGGTTACTCAGTTTCCTAGGCATTTGTCTTTTGAGTTCTTTTACAGAAGGCTTTTCCTACCTGCTGGGACAAAATAGTAACAGCTTCTTTGTGCTTGGCGTCTCTCAGGTTGATGCCATTAACTGCCAGGATGGCGTCGCCCACATGCAGGCCTCCACACCGCTCTGCAGGCTGCGTAGGGTGGATCTCGGATATCAAGATGGGCACTCCATGTTCCTTACCTCCCTGATTATACAGAAATGCAATATTGAAATAAAGAGCACAACCAGGATTTAATAAGAGTGCAAGAAAGGTTCCAAAAGAGAGGTGGCTGTTCAGTCTGTTAGATTTACAGTACTCAGCAGCTAACTGACCTGAGGATCTCACCCAGCCTTTTCTGGATTAAAAAATGAGAGCATCAAACATTTGCTTTGTTAAAGCAGCAATTAAGCCACGGATAACATTTAAAAAGTTTCAAAGCCAAAGTTATTGCCCAAATGTTTCAACCAGCTCACTTTTGTAGGTTTATTTATTTTATTCACGTTTCATGTAAAACGGTAAATTCCAGAGAGACTACAACATTAGTACACTAAGATTTTTCTAAAAAATACTTAGCAGGCCAAGATATGTGAATAATAAGATTTATATTTTATATTATGGAACTCACATGTGCAATGTTTGTGGACTTCATGTATTTATCATATCACAGATGGTACTATAAACCATAGCAGAGGTTGCTGTTTGACCTCAGAAATGTATTTAAGCAACTACTTTTGCCCCGTCGCTATTAACTGAATCATTCTGGGTCAGCACTTGAATAGGACTGACACAGCAACATTAAAACCTGATCAACCTGTGAACTCACAGTGATTGAAATGCCAAGTCCTTCATGATCTTCTTTAGACAGCAAAACCTTTCGTATGGGTCCCACACCTTGAGTCTTCTTTAATGTTTCTGTGTCCTGGTTGTGACATAAATGTTTTTTTTTATTAATTTGATACTACTTCAATTAAGCTTCAATAGTTAAAAAAATATAATGACTTAAAAGTTTCAGCCATCTTGACAGTGAATGCCATTTTTATATTAACTATATCATCTACCTTAAAAGGATACCAGTTTATGCAAAAGGTATGAGCAAACACCTCATTGATTAAGGTATTCAGGTATTAACCTATTCACAGAAGGAAAGACAATGGGAAAATAAATGTCTAATGTTCAAAGAGCAGTGTCTGTGAAATCATCACTATACATTTGACACAATTTTGACTTATGTTTTCTTAATACTACTTCTACTACTACTAAATTGTACGTGCTCAATCTTAACGGGAAAACAAGTTAATACAATGAGACAAGGAAATTGTATCAGACTAAACATTTGTGAAAAGGTTCTTAAGATCTCAGAAAAAAAGAAAGTCACAGCAAAATATACTTAAGTGTATACGTATATAACCATAATGCCTCCAAACTACATAAGGCTGTTGTGATTAGCAGAAGCGTAAGACTAAACATTGTAATAACAATTACTGAGGGCAGGAGTGAGGTAAACGTGCAATTCACTGAAAGGATGTCCCCTGCCTTTAATTAAACTACAAAAGCGTAATTACCTACTGTTTGGTACTTACATGTCCAGTGGGAGAAGGCAAGGGCTTCTTTGGATCATTGCGTCCCCGACAAGCCCTGATGACAGTCTTGTGCCGGTGAAGATGGATTTCCGCCTCCAGCTGATTCCACAGTTTGTCATGAGCAGGGCCCTTCATATCTCGCCCCAGCAGCTGGATCTGCTGCACCCTGACCAGGCGACAAAAACACACAGAATTACTCTGAGGCCCTAAACTGCACGTCTCACCTTGTAAACATTTTGTGCCTCATTCTCGATCACTATAGTCAAATCATACTTTCATAAACACTTTATAATATATATACTTTATGCCCTACTTACAGGGCAAATTGCTAGTTTCTCTACAGATAAAATATAGAAGTATTGCTCCAGTTAAACTATAGTAAAAGTCCTCTCTGATAAGCATTATTTATATGCCTGACTGCTCTCACTTTAAAGATAATCATCAATGCCATGTGTTAATGAGTCCCTGCTTTTACCAAACTGAGGCAATATGTCCTATTTGAAGCATGTCTGAAAGGGCTCTCTATCATATCACCCAAACTGACAGTGAAACACGAACAAGGGGGGAAACTATATGGAAGAGAATTTAATATCAAGAAAGGTGGACTTCTGTTCCTGAAGAGTCGTGTGGGTATGAAACAAGCTACCCAGCCATGTTGTTGAAGCCCTTATCCTGGCTTCTTTTAAGAAACAGCTGTATGAAATCATTAGATCAATTAAGAACTAAATACGACACGGTCTAGATGGACCAAATGGATTCCTCTCACATTTAACCTTTCTTACATTCTTAAGAATTATCTGTTTAACAGCAAAAAAGAAGTCATGGGTCAAAGAAAAAAAGGGTGTCTTTAAGGTCACCAGAGGGCAGCAGTGTTACAAGGTTAAAAGGAGAGTTGTGACATTAATCTTTAGTTTTAAGGCCCTTGCTCATCATTCAAAACTTCATAAAATATTACATGTAAGAAACATAATACATGAACGCTGAAATTACTATTACAAAATGGTTACTAAACTTGGTATCAGATTTGACATGTTCAACACAATTTTCACATTTATGTTTCTCAATTTCTTTAAATTTTGTTGCCTCTGTTAGTTCTTTCAGAGAAGAAGAGAAACTAAAGCCCAGGACAGTTTCACAGTTTGAAACAGAAAATCTGTCATGATGCATAAAAAAACCTTCAGACAAACCAATAAGTCATTAAGACCTCAAGACGAAGCAGCTTAATAAACTGATGAAATGGGAAACGAAAGAGACAATGAAAAGCAGTGAGGATCCAGGACGTTTTGATGAGCTGTAAATCCATGCCCTTTACCTTCCAGCCAGCTCTTTATCCAGGTACTTAGCAGCTAATCGTGCTCCGTAGACTTCTGCCTGCAGGACGGCGATGTGTCTCCGCAGAGCTTCATTCTCCTTCTTCTGCAGCCTCACCTCCGCCTCCAACTTCGCCTCCTTCACCTTTTCCTTCTTGTTTGCCTCCAGCTCCTTCTCCTACACAACACAAAACAAGGGACTGAAAACTGAACACGGCTGTCAGCCCTGCAAACTTCTCCAGCACTGAAAACCCTACACTATAGTGGAGTACTGTGTAAGGATGTCAGAAAAACTCAAAATCAATCATTGTTCATTATGTTCTCCAGTAGTGAGTTAATTCACAAAAATAAAACAGAATATTTCATTTTGCCTAAATTCTGTATAAAATACAGTAACCGAAATATTTAGGGCACATTAACAATCCAGTGATATTTAAGTGTTGTAATATTGTAATTTTGTAACAATATTGTAATATTAATATTGTGAAAGTGTAAAGAGATGTTGAATTTTAACAGATTTCTAGGAGTCATCCATCTTAAGTGAAAATACTAATGACAACCTTACAGGACAGAATACTACAAGAATCCTTAATTCCAACACCATAGTGATATAAACAAGCCCCGTGAGACTTGCAATAAGGTCTTGTTTGCAAAAAAAAAATGGGATGCTGTCCAAAATGCTATGCAATCAAAAACCGCCCTGTCTGCAGTATGTTGTTGACTGTACAGTCCAAATGACTCACAAAAGCAGAGCCACATCTCCTGCAGGCAGCTCGTGACCCACAGAGAGGACAAAAACATTTCAGCACTCTGCTGATACCGACACAAAGAAAGCAGCAGACATCCTGGTGATCCTTCATCCAAACAATGTCTCCAGAAATCTGCATGTTATGGAAAGCTTGCCAGATAGAAACATGCTGTATTTTACTCAGCTGCCGTATTTTCTCACACAATAATTGTACCAATTCCCACACACAAGCTGCTCCACAGTCTTCTTCTCATTTCTGTTGGTTTCCTCCAGGTGAATAATGCAATGCAGTACTGGTGAGTAATACAGCAACAGAATTAAGGCTAACAATACCGTGCCGGTCATGTTGAAATCAGAGGTTCTTTCCTTGACTGGTCACTTAGGCTTGTCTTTTGGACGAAAATCCTCTTGTAAATAACATATTCCCATTTCTGGTTTTGAGGGCTTATTTAAACTCCCGACTGCGAGGCTAGTGTCCTCTGGGTCTGGATAGTGCTGCTCACAGTCCCCATGTTCTTAAGACAACTTATGTTATTAGAGTCTTATTTTCCTCTGACATGACATAACGTAATAATTTACATCAATAAGAATGCACGTTGTGACATTTTGTGACTTTAAGCTTAAAGTCTTTCAATGGATTTGGGTTGCAGTACAAGATTTCTGTTTCTGTAAAATCTTCAAGAAAGGTCTCATTTAAAAAAATAAAAATCTTTTGTTTGGTTAGGGTTTCAGGTTTCAAGATAATTTGCGTATAAGAAATAAAACTTTTTAGGTAATACAAACATGGCAAGATCACCAGTGACCAACAAAGCACAACTGTCCTTCAACATCCCCAAGGGTAATGATAAGAGGTCTGTAACCTGGAACTGACAGCTATCACAAAAGAATACCAACTGATATGTTTTTATTCAGGCATAGTAATAAAGATTAACATGTTTAGGGTTTCCTGTCTGAAAGCTTGCAGTGCTCCAAGTCCCCAAAAGTGAGGGAGAAATAATTTACTAAGGCCTCATTCTTGATCTGTCCTATAGAAAAACGAATAAGAAAAAATACTTCTGCGGTTCAGTTGCCTCTCTGGACATTTGCAAGGTCAATAAGATGTAATTCAGACATAATGAGCACATCATCATAAAAAAGAAAACAGAATGTCTCTGTCATGACACACATGCTAAGTGGAATACGAGCTCTCTGAATGTGTGCTTTGAACAGCACTTGACTATCCGGTTCTACATAAACCTGCATGTTGTAAGATGGCTCTCACCAGCTCAAGACAAAATCCTAACATACTATTTTCACGTTTGTGCTTTTTTATGCTTCCAGATCGCTGACTGACGGTTTTTAATCTTTAGACATGTAATCATCCATACATTTCAGCTTAATCTACATAGTTTAACAATGGCAGATCTCTGCAGTAAATTGATAGGAGGTGAACGTTCTTGACCTGCTTCACTTTTCCAGCAGGTAGGATCCCCATTGTAGACGTTCTGTTTTTAGCTGCAATGTGGCACTGTTACAAGCGCAATTGACTTTACACCTAACCTCACACTGCCCCCTGGTCTTGGGGTGTTAAGGACTCGGGGAATCTAGAAATGTCATCAAGCCATAATTTAGCTCTAAAAGGAGAAATTCCAGAAGAAGAGAGATCAAAATTCCAAACCACTTGTATGACCAGTTATTTTCAGCATGCATGTCAGGTTTGAACATTTATGTGGAGAAGTTCTGTATCTTAGCATTCAGATCTACAAACATGGCAGGTGTGCTATGCTATTTGTGCAAAATTCTAATATTACTCATGTCAATGAGTATATCCTTGAAAAAGATAAATGAAGTAATGAAATATCTTAAAATCCCATGAGAGATTATTTAGAATGCATTTCTAAAGAATTGTCACTATTGATTATAAAGTACTCATTGCTCTTGAAAATGCATCTTTCAGTTGAAATCAGGTAATATTGTAAACAGGAACAGAAAACAAACAAGCCAAAGTTTTTTACACTTATTATTCATATCTAATTATTTTCAGGAATAAAACCTATTAAAAACAATTGAATGAGATGGTTTGAAAGTGATGGCCTTCACAGGTTTAACCAGCGACAATCTCTGTGTACTTGCAGAACAGGCTATTTTTTCTCAATTTAAAGAGGGTAGATGATGGGCTCAAACAGCTGTCAAAATGAATACTTGAACAATACAGTATCATGCTTATATTACTGTAACCTCACAGTATATGTACATGTATCTCTTATTCGCTATAATGGACAGATTGTATAGTATATTTTATACACTAATCATAGCAATAATTAAGTTCCTACTCAACTCGTACAGCACAGCATGTTCATAAATCTCATTTAATAATTGTCAATCATCTTATGTGCTCTGGACAAGTTTTATATTCTGTCTTTAGAAAATAATACACATAAACTATGTTTTAAAAATATTTTTACAGGAAAAAGACTTCCAAACTTCAGAAGCTCTTCAGGAAGGCAATTTAAAACGTATTACAATCTTATAAAGGTACTCAGACCTAATTCCTTCACACAACTAAAAGATATTCCAATAGTTTACGCTAGTGTTTTAATAGAGATACTGGAATTCTGCTGCTGTGCCAACAAAACATACATCTGTTTCATTCCACACCAACTCAACCAACACATCTGCCTATCTGAGATTCCCAATCTCTGACTTGCTAGAACAATTTACTTGGATTTCTTGTCCTGCTGAGCAATGGAAGCCTTGTTGTTTTTTAAACCTTTCTTTGAGTTGCAACCTGGCACAGAAACCTAAATAGAACAGATCACCTTGACCAGAAATTCCAACAAGAGCTCATCTTATAAGGTCACTTTTGGGAAGTTGTGAGGACAAGTTCTACTGTAAGTGGCAGGTTTAATTTAACCAATAGACACAGATTTGCTGTAAAAGCCTCCCATAGTCACACCTCCCATAGTCCACACTGATCAAGTCCCTCTGAAATTGTATGAGCACTGTTTTTACCAGGTTTATGCTAGAAAAAAAATCCATGATGTGAGGGACTGATTAACTTATACATTACTCTAAGATAATAGATGTGGATGAGACCCACAGGAAGTGTCACATTAAATGCTGGTATTTGTGGATTCTGGATATTTGGCAGATATTTTTGAAGCTGCATTCGTCATGCATTCAATCAATTGCTTACCGTCACACTGGAGAGGTTAAAGTACCACCAGCAAATCCAATCTAATGCCATAATTTTTTTTATTCTAGATTGAATCTAAGACAATGAAAAAGTAAAAGAAGCACCATTTCAGTTAGGACTATGCAGTGACTGGAATGACCCAGCTATGATTACAGAAACAAAAATAGCTGTCACACTTCACTTACCATGTCCTCCACTGAAGGGACAGACTTAAGGCAGAAAAGAAAAAGAGTTTTAAAGTTAGAAAGCAGACAAAGTAATGCAAGCCCAGAAAGCAAAATTAAAAGGTTTCCATTTTTTTAATTATTTTTGTACCGATGTCTACAGGTTAACCAAACTATAATTATCAGAGTCCGATTTTCAAGAAAGCCTTTGTAAAGATAAACCTTCAACACTCAAAATGATTAAGTGAACAATCTCATACACAATGCTTATATTACTGTAATTTTATATGTACATATATCTTTAGATATTAGATTGTACACTATACTTTAGACACTAGTGGTAATAATCAAGCCTCAATCAACTATTACAGCAAAGGACCTTCATAAATTATTTTAATAATGGCCAATCATCTTCAGATTTAATTGCATGTAAGCAATTTTTTCCACTAGTGCCTGTATCAGATTCCTACAGTATATCTCTGACAGAGAGCGAAATCCTGTGCAACTACACTTTGTTCTGCTTTGCAGTTTTCAATTTAAACAGATTTTGTCATCTTTCTTGCAGCTTGAGAGTCACTGTAATAATAAACATTTCATTTCTAAACTATTTTTAGTCACAATGGCTTTGAGTGGAAAATGTAAAAGAAGGTGATCAGGTTAAGACATGTGAGAAGGCATAAGTATGCTGGAGTATTATTAATTTATGTAACGTGCATTAGTGAAATTATAACACAGCAGCATTTATACATAGACGGGTGTATAAAATGTTCAGCTTCATCCAAAAGTAGTATGTTTTGTAACCACTGACATCAGGAGCGAATAAAGAGCCATGCTCATACCCACCAGTTTGGCTTTGATGGAGCCTGAATCCACATTCTGTCCTGTCTTGGAATGTAGTTGGAGCTGGATAGCGTGCAGCTGCAGCAGTTGGTCATGGACTTCCTTTTCAATCACTGCCTTCTCGGCTTGCACGTCAGTCAGTTCTGATTTCAGATCCACCAGCTGCGCCTGAGACACACAAGAAAGTGGAATGGCAATTCAGAAAAGACCAAGGACCACACACTGATGGCCGCACTGCGTGAATGAACATTTTCCAATTCATGCCATTTTGGAAGCATGTCTGTGTGCAACATACAGCGCACCAAGCAAAGAGCCATACAGCAATACAACACAGTCAGATAGAGAGTCCAAATAGCATGGATATCAGGTTTTTTCCAAAAGAATGAGCAAAGGTGTTGAGTACTGAACAGTCTGCAAATTGGAATAAAATGACCAGCGTGCTCAAGAAGCTCTGTGAAGTTGCCCCCTCTATTTAAAAGCACAAACAATGAAACCCACTGCATTCATTTCTGATCTGTTTGTGCCACTGTAAGTAGTGCAATGTCACTCAGCCTCCACTACAACAGCAGAGGAGAACTGAACCAGTCATTTGTGTTATGTTTGTGCCAGTTTGTGCTATAAAAAGTAACCTTAACGCTGCTTTTTTTCCCCAAGATACATAGTAGCGTTCTCTTTTTTGGAGGGTGTGCCATCACTTAATCCCTCTACAATGGAGCAGGAGGACCAAACCAGCCTTATTTGGTTTTGGTACATTTGTGCTGCTTTAGCTTCTAACGAACAATGCTTTCTTTCTTCCGAGTGTGATGTCAATCAATCTACCCAGCCACTACCAAAAGATAAGAGCACTAGGAAACACTCCTGCACAGGAAGCCTAAAGTGAACTGTCCTGGACTGTGCAGGGGATCATATGCTAGGTGAAGGGCATATTCTGTCATCTTTAGAAGCCCATGGTATGCTTTGTCAAGTAATGTGTAGCCAGTTTTTGGACGCATTTTAGTAGTGACTTCAGTGCCATTTCACAGAAAATGCAGAAGCTAATTTTTTGTTATCTACGAGAGTCTCAGTCACTCACTCCATAACTGAGCCACAGCGTAATAAGAGGCATCAAACAAAATATTGGTTTCTGAAAAAAAAAAGTTATATACACTAAAAATATAACAGTAGAAAACCAGTTCTACTGGTGCGATTCTGCAAAGCTTAAGGAGGGAAGGATTACTCTAGTGCGTGCAGAACTGATTTCTTTATTAAATCAATCGTAGCCATATATCATTTCCAACCAATGGAATGCAGACGGCACTGTAACAGGCTTTGCCTTCCTACTCAGTTTTCAGTTTAACATTAATGATTTTAAATTGTGAAACACACTATAGTATTTAATCATTTGAAGTGAGCCTTGCCAAAGACACAGAACTTGAACATTTAAATAATGTATTTAGAAAATACATTTCAATTTTAAAGGCATTTCTGCTGATAACTTTAAGTTTTACTGTATAGTTCAGAATAATATCGAAGTGTCTTCGTAACTGGGTTTTAAAGTATTCTTCAATACGATTTTTAAGAAAATAATTACACCCACAGAAACTGGTCATTACACTTGGAGTTTTGATGGCTGTGTAAGTCTGTTATGACAGTTATTTGTTGAAAAGGACTGTACTTAAGGGTACATTTGAAATGGTAAACTCAAATTTGCACCTATGCAAATAGGTTTTAGTGATATAAAATTCTCCTGGGAAGTCAGATCTGGAACCCCAAGTGAACCCTAAGCTCTGCTGTGTTAAGTCATCCTTTAGACTCTCTGCACTAATTTTTCTTAATCACATGCTTGCAAAACCTCACACTGACTCCCTCGATGGATTTTCCCCCCCAAAATTAAAGAATCCACTACATATTGAATTAACCATTTATTGCCTGACAGATACCTGCAATAATTCTGGTCCTAGTGTGCTGAAAATCCAGTACACTGAGGTAAGGAGTGCTGTGGTACCTCATTTACCTGCAATTTACTTGAAAAACCAAAGGAGAACCCGTAAGTGCTGGTTTGTATAGAGACATTATACTGTACAGGATGTATATTTTTTCTGTCTTATTTTACTCTATACCTTCCCAAGCTGCAGAACTGGTGACAATACTGAATTCCTGAACCAGAGGTGTGAAAGGTTTAGATCTTAGATGGTTAAGAAGGGTTTGATTTTATATCCCACTTCTACCTATGTATTATTCTCCTTTTTTGACCTTTTACCCGGTTAATACAAGTGACAGCGTCTTTGTTTGCCACACAAATCTTTTTATTTCATTCTCACAATGATGCACCGTTTTGTTAACTGAACTGAAAAGTTCTTTGATTGGAACCCTGCAAGTGTTTTTCCTCCTGGGAAGTTGAAGACCACAATATGCATTCATACATTGCCAATTAAAGGGCAACTGCTATACATGTATATGTAAGAAATGAAAAAAGATCAAATTAACCCTGTTATTGGGTCAGTCATGTGGTTCAATTATGTAGCCGAGAGCTTAGCTGGATAAAAAACCTGCCAGGATCAGGGTCCCCAGGAACAGGGTTAAAACCTAAACAAACCTACAGAAATTCTTCATTTTATTTTAGCCCTTGCTCTGCATGGTGTATAAAACCGCATCATGGCTCCTGTGATTCTCATTTACATCCTTGTAATATTTACTGCTCTTTTCTGGCTAAAATCAAGTCAAATAATGTTTTTTAAAATATTATTTTGCCATAAATGTTATATTTCTCTGTATGGTTCTTTCAAGTTCTTGACTTGCTTCAAAGACAATAAACATTTTCCAATATTAAGGATGCTGTACAACTGTTATATAAGGCTGGGTGAATTTTTCTTATTCTTATTGCAGTCTTTAACGAATCTTCACATTAAAATAAGCTCGTTTCCTTGCTTTGAAGAACTGACATCTTTCTGAGCTCAGAAAGGTATCCAGATACAAAGGAAAAACATCATGGTAACCAAGGGCAAAGCACTTTGATGGTTTAAAATTGAACAGATTCCTGGACTGCAGCAGGAGCCACATTTTCTGAAGCAATGCCTGTAACAGCATGGCATGTGCTGAGTCACAAAGCCACATACCTGGAACAATTCCCTCTCCCCAGCAAACAAACACCGCTCTGAGCAGGACTAACAGCTGAATAGGTACTTACGGCAGTTGTGATTTTCATCAATATTAATTTTGAACTGGAAAGACAGTGAATCCCTATAAATTAATCCTCAAAATCAGCCGACCCCTATCAATCATTATGCAGAAAGCCAAATCATAAAGTTTACAGTGCCCCTTCAGTGCATCTGTTGGCCTTTCTTTGAGTAACTGAGTAATGATTAATGGGTAATGCAAAAGGAAATTAAATGACAGCTACTTTGTATTGTGTATGGTACATGCACTGTTCAACCGTGTATAGGTTGACTTCATTGTTGAAATGCTGTGATGAAGGTCAGAAGATGAAAATATTAGCTATTTTAATAATAAGGTGAGATTTGAGTGAATCACAAAGTATAGATTTGGCTGTTACCAGCTTGCATTAGATCACAAATGCCTCTACTTATCTGAATTATCATGAGGAAAATTCATTTTTAAACAAGACATTGACCTAATGTACTAAAAAGCCTGTGCTTTATTTAAGAACCACATGAAGTATGCTTAACTTGAGGTTAACACATAAAAAAAATCATTAGTATACTCAGTTGTTATAAAAACATAATAAGAGGCAATGAAAAGAACAATCAAACAGCTGTGATGTAATTATGAGACTTATTCTGAGCTACCCTGCAAAAGCTAAAGGGATACTCATAAAGTATAGAAATGGACATGAACCCAAACCATTGAATCATATAGTGTCTGTTTACAGTGGTTCCTGCTTTAAAGTATGCATCTTTTCACTGGAAAACAAGAGTGGTTCTCAAATTGCCCTTGTTAGCATGTCGGCTTTACAATCACAAACTGTTTTGTGTGCAAAAATAGATTGTAAACTAATAAGAAAATAATGAAAAGCTATGGTATCTTCTTTTATCTTGTTTCCTCTGTAGTGCCCTATTTATTGATCTTTTATTTTAAATTCCTCTACTGAAAAAACTTAATATTTTGTAGAATGAGAGCCCAGTAAAACCGCAAGCCATTACTAGGTGTTGTCTCACTGCCAAACAGAAGCAAGTTAACAGTGAAAAGAGCAGCAGCTCAACACTATTTCCTCTAAACAGGTGTGTCAGCTGAGAGGGCTGAACTTGCATAAGGAGAAAAGCAGGAGTCAAAGTAAGACCTTTAGTGCACCTATTGTACAAAACCGGTAGGACAGAGATCTTCTGTACATGGTTTTATTTAGAAAAAGTGTGAATATCTGTTCACTACATCTGGTATGACTGCTGTGTAATCATAGCTAATGTCAGGGATAT